CCTCCCTCCCTCTCCACAGCAGAACTGGGGGTCAGGGGGGTCAGACCCACTCTGGCACTGCTGTCCCCGACACAGCAGCCACGGGGGCCCAGCACCCTGCTGGGTGTTGCCCTCAGGTGACCCTGCACGCAGGATTTTGGCACCAGCCCTTCCCTTGCAGAGATTAAATCTCCCCCTCCAGGCCATGCTCTACCAAGTGGAAAAATCCCTAAACAAGCCAGCTTGAAGCACAAAACCACCTCCACCCTACGGGGTTACAGTGGAGAGAACAGATTTTGCTGGGAAACAGGACTAACACATGCACCTCAGTCCGTCACTGCTGGGGAATCTGCTTCTCATCATCCCAGCTGAAGCCAAGGAGCCAGATCCCACCCAGCACCAGCTCATGGTCCCCATGGGGCAGCTCAGGGGAGGTCTGTGTCCTGCAGCCCCTGGAGGGATAGGGCAGGGATGGAGGGACAAAGCTGCAGCCACAGAGATGCTGCAGTGGGCAGGTGTGGGGGAGATGGAGGGTGGGCATGGGGGCTTGGTGCAGGGGGATGTGGGACGAGCCCCAGTTCTGCAGCCACAGCACTTCCATGGGATCATTTAGGTTGGAAAAGCCTTCAAAGACCATCGGGTCCAACTGCTCCCCCAGCACTACCAAGGCCACCAGGAACCCATGTCCCCAGTTCCACACCCAGACATCTGTTAAATCCCTCCAGGGTAATTTTTGGGGTCTTTCCCAATGTGAGGAGGGAAGGCAGCAGTGGAACATTCATTGCCTGTGGCCATGGAGGTGTTTACAGAGGAAACAGCCCCTTTTGGAGAGCTTTATTGCCAATTATCTCCTTGCCATGACCTGCCTGGGCACAGCCAAACCCCGCAGCCTCCAGTGGAAAATGTGGTGTCGTGGCCCCACAGGCACGAGCTGCCACTTGTCCCAGCACACTCAGCTCACCCTTCCCTTGCAATGAAAAGTAAACTCTTTGCCCAAACTTTCTTTTTCCTGGCTGATTCATGTCCCTGTTGCTGTCCCACTCGTGGGGAAGGAGCAATGAGCAGGAGCTGTTTTCTGGCATGGCTCACAGGAAGGGCAAACTGACTTTAAAGTCCAGGAGCAACTTTTCCATATCTCGAGTGTCCTTTTACCCTGGCCAAAAATCACAGTCAAACCCTCCTTCTCACTGGCATCACCTTCCTTGTTCCTGCACTGAGCCCTATCTGTCCTTATCAACCTGCTGTGCGGGCTTGGACTTGGGAATATTTATTCCTCCAGCAGCAGAGAGGAACCTAATCCTGCATGGACGCCAGTGCCAGCGGGATTGACGCAAACAGCACTGATTCGCAGGGCTGCCCTCCCTCTGGCATGGCCATGTCCCCCAGGGAGCCCCACTGGGGATGCAGGGAAGCCCCCATGGGTGCAATGTCCACAGCACTGATACCACTCTGGTGGGTTTAAGGTCAAATATTTGGATGTCACCCCAACAACGAAGCCAGCACGGCGAGAAGGGGACGAGCCTGCACTCCCAGGATGGCCATATCTGTGTCACCCACATCCTTGGTGTCCCCCGTGTCCCCCCTGCCAAGCACAGCTCTGGGTATGACACAAGTGCTCCGCTTTTGGCAGCAGAGCTGGGTCTGTCCCGACCTTTCCTTCCTGCTGACCTCAGCCTGCAGGAATCCGAGCGTGCCCACCAAAAATAACAAATGTAAAATGAATCCAGTGTAATCTTAATCTCATTTGACAACCAGCTCAGCCGAGGGGTGCTCCCCAGTGCCCAACTGACCAGGACTCCGGGGTGGGGGGAAAGGGAAAAGGGCTCCGGAGCCCGGCACCCCACAGGGTGCGGGGGCAGAGGGAAGTATGGGGGGCAGAGGGGTGGTGGCAGGACCCAGCAGCTCCCGGTGACAGTGGCAGTGGGGGTGGCACGGGGGCCAGGCGGGGCTGGTCCCAGCACAGTGAGGAAGTCACGGTGAGATCCCTATCGCCTGCGCGGGGGCGGCCGGGAAAGGCACGGTACGACGGGGGCGGGAGTGGGGCCGCCTGAATTCAGGGCTGACAGTGCCCCCAAAACTTGGGTGCTGCTGTGGAGGGGGAAGAGGTAACTGACCCCAACCCTGACTTATGTGCTGGACTGGGGAGCACCTGGATCCCAAGGAAAACAGGCACAAGTGCTGTAGGCACTGTCCTGGGTGTGCTGGGAGAAGCCTGCAGGGCTAGGCTGTGCCGTGCCAGCTCCTGGAGGGACTCTCTGTATGACATTTCCACTTCTGGACATGGAATCACAGAATCCTGGAATGCTTTGGGTTGGAAGGAACCTTAAAGACCACACAGTCCCACCCCCTGTCATGGGCAGGGACACCTTCCACTATCCCAAGGTTGCTCCAAGCCCCATCCAACCTTGAATACTTCAAGGAATGGGGCAGCCACAGCTTCTCAGAGCAACTGTGCCAGGGCCTCACCACCCTCACAGCCAAGAATTTGTCCCTAAATCAAATCTAACCCTCCCTCAGTCTAAAGCCTTGTATCTGACTGTAAGGAATATCTAAACAAACCACAAAGAGCCACAAATGAACAAGTATGATGGGGTTTGGAATGATGGAGCAGTGTAGCTGCCTCAGAGGAAGGCAACAGCAACTGAGAATCCTCAGCATGGGAAGAATAAATCGATGGGAAAGAGCCTGGCATGAGGTCTCACTCTGCTCCCACCCTGCCCACAAGGCACTGAGCTGCAGCTCGACATGACTGCTCAGGAAGAGATAAGGAGACATCAGTTTAACCAGCATGAGAAGATCAGTGTTATGGGAACCAGCAGCTCAGAGGGGCCGTGACACCTCTCCTGGAAGGGCACACTGCTCCACATGCTACTGCTCCGTGCTGGCTTCAGATACGCTTTGTCCTTGGGGCTGCCCCAGCCCCAGATAACATAAACTGGCTCCAGATGTGCCCACTAACCATCCTGCCCCAGCTGTGCAGCCCTGGGCCCAGCTGTGTCTGACACATCCAGAACATACCAAAATGAAAATTCCCACTGAAACCCTCCCAGTCCTGCTGCGGGACTATACATTACTATAGCCATACAGACACATTATATACATTACTATAACCACACGTTATAGTTTCATCACCCAGTGAGGTTTTACTCCCACTGTGCTGCCAGCAGGCTCATGCTCTCACTTCCACTAAAAAGTCCCCATGGATCAGGCAAAACCCAGAGCAGTGGGACTTACTGGCAGAGACTTATTCTGCCTTGCCCCAGGAGAGACAAATTCTGTTCCCCAACATTTCCCTCTTTGAGGCAGAGGTGGGAGCTGTGCGGTATTTCCTGTGGTTGCAGCCTGTAATGAGGTTAACACTGTTTTTGAGGTTTAACTCTTTAACCGACATGAGAAAGGAAGCCACATGCTCTGCAGAGTCAGGGTTTGGGAGCAGCAGGGAGCCAGTGGGATGGAGGGCACTGGAGCATCCCTGGAGCCTTGGGCCTCTCAACCCTGGGGGTGTGCAGCTTGGAGCATCCTTGGATGAGCTGGGGATCAGCACAAGCAGAGGGGGTGACGCTGCTGGTGAAAACAACCTCATTCCTTAAAGACTCTTCATTCCATGCTTCTGGGATTAGCAGGAAAATATCCTTTCCCTGATGGAGCTCAACCCAGCACATTCTGCTGTGCTCCCATCACCTCGTACACAGCAACAAAACCATAAAAATCCATTTGAGTTGGATTTAACTCTGCCGGAGCATCTCCCAATTCTGTAAGAACTTTCAGAAGACACCCCTTCCCTCGAGGCTGCTCCTTTAAGGGATGCTGGGTTTTCCCATGGACTGACTCAGACTGGAAACTCTCCATTTTTGGTGCTGTTATCTGGGTCAACCCCACTGCTCACCTCGCTCACACTCACCGATGCTTCTCGCTGTGCTCAGCAGCTCCGGCCGCAGCAGGAGGAGGAGGAGGATCCCAGCACCACATGTCCTGAGGACAGCCAAGGTAAGGACCCTCCACTCTTCCCACCTTCCAGCCCCCTGCATTCAAACCCAAAATATCCCAGCTCACTGTCCTCACCTGCTGCTTCTATGTGCTATCCCCTCCTGGCACAGCTGCCGGTGAAGATTCCACCTGGTTTGGGCCTGAACAACAGGACAGCTTTTTCCTTGTTTATTTACTTCCTATTTCTTTAGCACTAATGCACAAGGAGACTTTAACAGAGATGAGATCAAAGCCCCGCATCTGCCAGCAAGGGAAACAATCTTGTTCCTTTGGCTTTGGAGTTTGCAAACGTCTATAAATTGGAATAAAAATAAGAATGTAAGAGATTCCCAGGGGAGGCAGAGCCTGCAGTCCCTTGTAAAGCTGGCAGTGGGCAGATTTAGTGTTTTCAGCTCTTTGCATAGAACACGAGTTGCCTTTTTTCATTTGCTCTGACTTGCAGAAGGTTCATCAGCTTCTCTTAGTAGGTCAGGTAATAGGGAGGCACTTAAAATTTGACTCACTAGTGATGAGTATTTGAACAGCCCTTAAACCAAACAAGCTCATACGGCAGGAGAAATACTGAAGCACTTGCTGCTGCTGGTGGCCTAGTTTGGGTTGAAAAATGGCATTTTGAAGCTTTTACTGCAGACTCTGCCGTCCCTCCAGGGAAAACTTGCCATTCCTGACATCAGGTATTGCATGGGGTTATTTGAAAACAAAATGAGGGAGTTGTGGGGCTTTTCTGGATGTTCAACCCTAGATAGGGGAATGGGATGTCAGGTCTGGTCAGGGTCTGCTCCCAGGAGGAGTTTTTCATGAAAAAGAGCCATTTGCCCCTAGGGAGCTGTGTTTCCTTGCACTTCAGTCTGTGCCTTGGTTATTTCAAAGCTGTCCCATGCCCACACCCCAAGTCCCACAGGGCTGGTGAGGTTGGGCTTCCCATCTGGAGGGGGTTTGTCCTAGTGGGATGCATCCAAAGAGGATGGAAAAGAAGGCAAAGGTAACAAGGAAAAATTTAGGCAAGACTGTGGGATGCAAAAAAAAGAGTGGCTCCTTGGGGAGAGGTGGGAAGCCCTGGCCTGAGGTTTTGGGGCTGTCTCGAGGGGTTCACTGCTAGGAAGAGCAATTGCTCATCTTAGGCAGGACCTGTGGGAAAGGTCTTATGGAAATGGAACTTTTGTCCCCCAAACCCATGTCTGAGCATCCCAAAGTATGGAGACTGTAGGGTGAGCCCTGCTGTGTGGTCACCACTGAAGAGCTTTTTCTTATGTTTAGCTGGAATTTTCCGATTTCCAACGTGAGCCCATTGTCTCCTATCCTTCCCCTGGGCAGTGCTGGGAGGAGCTCAGCTCCCTCGTCTTTACTTCCCCATCTATACCCAAGGATTTAACCCTCTCTGAGCCCCTCCTTTCCAGCAGCTCTCCCTACCCTTCCACATTTCCCAGATGCTCCCAACCTTCAGGCGCCTTTACTGGACTCACTCCAATCTGTCCATGTCTCTCCTGTCCTGAGGAGAGCCCAGCCCTGATCCCAGCATTCCAGATGTGCCTCCACAGTGCTGAGCAGAGGGGCACCATCCCCCTGACCCATCAAACCCGTCTCTTTCAAGGAAGGCTTTCAGCCTTGACTTCCCTGCTGTAAATCCACGATTCCTGCTCCCATCATCTCCTGTTGCTCCCGCCTGTACTGGAGCTGGTTTCCAGAAGGATTCCCTCCATCCCCTTTCCTCCCACAGACTATGCCATGTGTGGGCAGTGGCTGCAGCCCAGGCCATGACCGGGTCCAGCAATGCTTTGGTGCTCCACGTCCTGCTCTGCTGCCTGTGCCAAGGTAAGTGGCCACCACATGGCTCAGCACGGCCACCGCGGCCTCGCTGGCCACCAGAGCATACACCCTGGTCCTACAGGGGATTTAGAGTGGGAATAGGACAGTTGTAGAGCTACAGGTGTGGATTTTTGGGGCGAGCACTTCACTAGCATTGCTGGGGATCCCACGCCCTGCGGCACCCTCTGCTTCCCACTCATATCCTTGGAGCGGGATTATGTCCAGCCTCGTTGCAGCGGTTGTGCTAAGCAGTGGGATGTGCCTCCACAGGCACAGCCAGAGCACAGCCTTGCCCTTTCTGGGAAGGCCAGATGGAGCTTGATAGCAGCTGTGAGCCAGGGCTGCCAGGGCTAGTGCAGAGCTCCATCTGATAGCAGAGGGCAACACACGCCTCTGCTGCCCTAATCAGGGGATCAGAGCTCTTGAGACTGTGGGTTATTTCCCTGCACTCATTTAAACATTAGAGCAAAACCTAAAATTGGTGAAACTGGCTGTTTCTTATCTGCTGGGATGAGTCACTGGGTGCCGGGGCACTGCTGCAGGCAGGGGGTTCATCACAGAGTCACAGACTGGTTTGGGTTGGAAAGGACCTTAAAGATCATCTTGTTCCACCCCCTGCCGTGGGCAGGAACACCTTCCACTATCCCAGGTTGCTCCAAGCCTCGTCCAACCTGGCCTTGGACACTTCCGGGGATGGGGCAACCACAGATTCTCTGGGCAACCTGTGCCAGGGCCTCTCCACCCTCACTGCCAAGAATTCCTTTCCAGTATCACTCATGACCCCTGGTTTCTCCCTATCCCATGGTGTTCAAGGTGGGTGGGGGTGCTGGCATCCTCTTGCTGCAGGGTCCAGCCATGCTGCTGCTGCATCCTAGCAAAGCAGCCACCCCTGTGGAATGGTGCAGCCCACAGGCATCCCCTCCTGTGGGACACCCACCGGGAGCCACCCTGACCCGGTGGGTGTTGACACAGGTGCTGCAAACATCAAGTGCTCAGGGCGAGTCTGGGTGGACCCCACGCCAGTAGTGCAGATGGGCTCCAACATCTCCATCAACTGTCTCTCCACCCTCGGCTGCCCCTCAGCCAAGTTTGTCATCCTCCTCAACTACAACCACACTGAGGGTCCCCTGCACCCCCTCAGCAGCAACTCCGTCCAGCTCCGGCTGCAGGATTTCCAGCTGCCCTACGGGACCATCGTCTGCTTCGCCCGCTGCCCCAACAGCGCGCGGGATCAGCTGGTGTGCGGCACTGAGGTCCGGGCCGGCTGTGAGTACCCTGTACCGTGCTGGGGGGGCTCAGGGGTTTTTGCTGAGCACCGAGGAGCTGGGGGGTGCCGTGCCTGGGTTTGGGGGGTGTCCATACATTCACCCGTCCTTGCCCCTGCAGACCCTCCAGACCCCCCCAGCAACCTGAGCTGTGCCATTGCCGAGGGCTCGAAGCACCTGGAGTGCAGGTGGGATGCGGGGAGGCCACCCCACCTGCTCACCCACCACACCCTCCACCTGCGCAGGTAAGGCCCCCGGGGACCGGGGGGGCCGCGGGGCTGGGAGGGAGCACGGGACCGGCACGTGGCAGCCACAGAGCCAGGTGACAGCAAGGCTGCTGTCATGCCCTAGTTACACTTCCTACAGCTCACACTTGCTCATCTGCTCGAAAACCACACATTCCACCACAAGCTGAGTTCTGCAGGAGGAACCTCCTGCACTCAGTGCTGTTACTGACCTGGCACACACTCCATCGTGCCGCAGTACATGGAAGCAGCACATTGTTTTCAGGTGCTTGGATTGTCTCTGAGCTAAAGAGAGGGTGAACCTAATGTTGCCCAAACCCCAAAACTGAAACTCCAGTTTGAATCTGAAGCAGAGGTGCTGGCTGCTGCACGGTGTGCCACAGGCCATCCTGCCCATTCCAGGATGCTCCCTGCCACTGAAGTCCCCATTGCACCAGCCTGGCAGGCTTTCAATTACTCTGACTCAATCATTAAAGACATTAAATTCCATCACACTTGGCTTTGTGAAGAGAAGGGATAAACCTCCTGTCTAAATTTGCTTGGGATCAAACTGAACCATGCAGCCAGAAAGGAAAGTTCCCTTCTGTTGTGAAAAATGCAAATTCCCAGCAGAAATGTCAGGAACTAAAGGGAATAACTTTCCAGTTTGCTTTAGGAGTGACAAACTCCAGGTTTGGGGATGACAATGCCCTGGTCATGAGCTGCGACGCCTCGGGAGCATCACCATCCCAGGGGGTATGTGGTGCTGGGATGGGCACTGACAAACTGCCTTCTGCTTCCCAGGGTAGTGGCAGAAGATGAGGAGGGTGCTGAGGAGGAGGAAGAAGAAGAGGAGAAGGTGTTCCCTGCTGACTCACCAGTGCCCCTGAGTGTGCTGTGCAACAGGAGCCGCTACTCGGTGTGGGTGCAGGCCAGGAATGCACTGGGCACTGCCCACTCAGCCCCTCAGCTTCTCAGTCTGCAGGACATTGGTATGTCTGCTCACCTGTCAGTCAGCAGCACAGAGTGCTGGGGCTGTGCATGGCCACACCCACTGCCCTGCCCTGAGCTGTCACTTTAGGGACCTTCCTGAGGTGCACAGTGACATGCAAGAGGGCAGCCCCTCACCCCACCCATTCCTGGCTCTCCCCACAGTAATCCCCACTGTGCCCCTGGTCACTGGTGCTGAGACAACAGGGACATCCCCTCCCACCACCACAGTCCACTGGCGCAGTCAGACACAGCTGGAGAACGTGCACTGCGAAGAGCGACACCAAGCCAAGGGCACCCCAGCATGGCATGTGAGACCCCCGGGACTCCCCAGACCTCACCCCACGTGCAGCATCAGGCCCTGTTAGGAGAGGTGCAAGTCTTGATCCTGCTGGAGACCCTCTTAACAACAGGAGCATTTGGGGTCATTCAAAACTCACCCCTTTGCTCTGGTGCAAATCAAAAAGGTTCACTCCAGCCACAGGCAGGAGATCTGGTGCCATCTAAGAGAACAGACAGCCATGTGTGAAGGGTTATCTCAGCTTTTTAAGCAAAAGGGCAAAATTCAGAATCTTCCCAAACTTTATATGCTCTGCAAGGACAAGACACAAAATCCTCTGGGATGCTCAGTGCAGACCTACAGACACAACTACACTAGAGCAGCTCCACCCAAGTCCCTTTGGAAACATCCCAGTGTGCTGGCAGAGGCTGAGCTGGATCCCAGTCCCCACAGGAGCCCCTAAAATCCCTGTGTTGTCAGAAGCCCAGCACAGCAGTGGGATGGGGGTTTTCTCTAGGGCTCCACAATGTGCCCAGTGCATTCACACAGGGGATAGTGTGGACTCAGCCCATCCCCATCCATGCAGATGAGGAAGGCAGTGACCACCACTGTGTCCGGGGACTGGTGGTGGCAGTGGGGGCCTGGCTGGGTCCCATTTCCCCCCAGGACTCTGCTTCCCTTGCAGGTGGAGGTGTGGGACAGTGCAGCACAGGATGAGCCCCGCTGGCAGCACAACCTGCAGAGTGACACCCAGTACCTGTTCCAGGTCAGGTGCAGGCTCAGCTTCCCCAACAGCCCCTGGAGTGCCTGGAGCCCCCCCTTTCTCTACACCACCCCCGAGGCAGGTAGGCTTAGCCTCAGAGACACCTCTGTATGTGGCATGTCCAAAGTGCCCAGGGCAGTGGTGGCATCCCCATCCCTGCAGGGATTTAGAAGACATGTGGATGTGGCTTTTGGGGACATGGGTTAGTTGTGGCCTTGGCAGTGCTGGGGAATGGTTGGACTTGATGATCTCAGAGGTCTCTTCCAACCCATTTAATTCTATGATTCTATGATGATCTGGAAGGGCTTTTCCAACCTAAACAATTCCATGATTCCACAATCTTTCGTGGCCTCGTGCCCGGGGTGGAAAAAAATCACACCAGTCATGGTGTCACACCAGCCACAATTATCTGTCACCTCTGTGGCAGCTTCCCCCTTTTTATCCTGGATGCTAACACCAGGATGAGGTTGGAAAGGGCCGGCTCAGTCATCCCGGCCGGCAGCGGGACGGGATGCCCGAGGAGCGTTGCCCTCACATCCCGGCTGTAGTGAGAAAGCCGGGGATGTGCTCGCCTCCAAAAGCAGCGCCCGCTGCTGTTTCCTCTCACAGCGGCAGAGACCTGGCCAGGCAGGGCTTCCTGCTAGGGCTGTGTGTGTGGGAGAGCCCCTTTAGGTGGGTGTTCCCCCGTGTCTCAACCCCCATCCCACGCTCCCTCTGTCCCGCAGCCCCCGCCGCGGCTCCCGATGTCTGGCGGCGCCTGGGCCCGGCTTTCCCCAACGGCAGCCACGAGGTGACGGTCTTGATCAAGGTAAAGTGGGTTTTGGCAGCCACTGTGAAATGTTGGTGTGCTCTGCTCCTCCCCGAGCAAAAAGAAAGGACCGCCCTCCCTAAGGAGCCCTTCGACCAAAGGGATGGGCGGGGAAATGACACCCCAGTGTGAAATAACACCTCTCCATCTTTGTAAAATCCACGCGTGTGTCACCCAGCCAAGGACACATCTGTGCTGCCTGGGGCGTCTCAGTGTCACATCCCACACCCTTACCCGGGGGACTGTCTGTCTGTCTGTCTTGCCGTTCACAGCCGCTGCCTCCTCGGGATGCCCGCGGGAAGATCCTGGGCTATGCCGTGGCTGCCGAGACCCCCGGGGGAATGCTGGTCCTCTGCAACACCTCCAGCACGGAGTGCAGTATCCTGGTGCAACCGGGAGCCCGCACCCTCCTCGTCACTGCTCACAACTCCAAGGGGGCTTCCAGCCCCGCCATCCTCACCCTTGGCCAGGGTGACAGCAGCCAGGAAGGTAGGATGTCACACAGGCCACTTGCAGGTGTAACAGAGACTGGCTTATATCAATCAGGGTTGCAGGAGAAAGATGCTAAATTGTGCAAGGGAAAATCTTGGCAGACATTTTCCCTCAGCAGCCCACTCTGCTGAGGGAACACAACATCCCCTAGACAATTCCAGCATCCCCCAGAGATGGAGATGCTACACAAGTGGATATAGAACCATGGAATCCTGGAATGGTTTGGGTTGAAAGGAACCTTAAAGTCCATCCAGTCCCATCCCCTGCCACGGGCCGGGACACCTATCACTAGACCAGGTTGCTCCAAGCCCTGTTCAACCTGTCCTTGGACACTTCCAGGGATGGGGCAGCCACAGCTTCTCTGGGCAACCTGTGCCAGGGCCTCTCCACCCTCACAGCCAACAGTTCCTTCTCACTGTCCCATCTTAGCCTGCCCTCTGGCAGTGGGAAACCATTCCCCCTCGTCCTGTCATTCTGTGTCCTTGTCCCAAGTCCCTCTCCAGTTCTCTTGGAGCCCCTTTAGGCACTGGAATCTCAGCCCTTCACCACCTAAGGCTGCAGCAAGAAGTTTAAAAATAATTTTGCCCTGCCCACCTTGGCTGGCAGAGAAAAGGGTATGAGGCTGCTCCTTTGCTCCCTGCCCCCCAAAATAGCTCCTGCAGTCTCTGCCAGGGAATCAGCTCCTGCTGTAAGGTGGGTCCTTGCAAACCGAAGAGGAAAAAATCCCTTCTGAGCTACGGGCTGTGGTTTCACCCACAATCATGCTTTCCTATTCTGAAAAACGTCTCTTTTAATGAGCAATAGAAGAGGAAAGTCCCATTCAAACTGAGGACAAACACATGACTAAAAAGAAACTGAAGAGAATTGAAGTGGAAAAAAGCTCTCTAAGCTCTCAGTTACCTGAATCATGTGCATTTCTTGTAAGAAGTGACAAGTAAAGCATTTCAGGAACACCACAAAGCTGACAATGTGTTTTTGTGACACACGTACATAAACACAGGGGAGGGAACAGAGCTGGGGAAGGGTCTGGAGCACCAGGAATGGCTGAGGGAGCTGGGGAGGCTCAGCCTGGAGGCTCTTGGGGGGACCCTCTGGCTCTCTGCAGCTCCCTCACAGGAGGGCGGAGCCAGGTTGGGGTCGGGCTCTGCTCCCGGGTAACAATAGACTGGACAAGAGGAAATGGCCTCAAGTCATGCCAGGGGATGCTCAAGTTGGATATTGGGAAAATTCCTTCCTGAAAAGAGTTGTCCAGTCCTGACACAGCTGCTCAGGCAGTGGTGGAGTCCCCATCCCTGAAGGGATTTAAAAGTGGATGTAACACTTAGGGACATGGGTTAGTGATGGCCTTGGCAGTGCTAGGGAATGGTTGAACTCCATCTTCAAGGTCTTTTCCAATCTAAATGGTTCTATGAAATATAGAACAATACATATAAATATACATAAAAATCTATCTTCATATATTTTGTGTGTTTATATATATTTATATATAAACCTCCATATTCTATAATTTCTCGTTCCCTCTTCAGTTTTTAAACACTTCCAGGAAAGACACATTTTGTCTGGGCTTAACTGACCCTTCCCAGTCTCCCCCTCTCCAAAGGTGAGTCTGTTGGGTGACACTTCCCTTGCCATCTCTCTCCACAGAATTCCCAGCACCAGTGGCTGTGGAGGTCAAGCCCGAGAACCAGAGCAGGGTCTTGGTTCATTGGCAGTCCCCCCAGCATAGCAAGAGCCCCCCACTTTGGTTTATAGTGGAGTGGGTTTCCACCTCCGATTATCGCCAGGAGGAGCACTATTTTTGGAAGAAAGTCCCAACCCAGGAAACACACACATACATCCAAGGTAAGATATTCCAGAAGTCCTTTTGCTACTTGGTGCAGTTCACTAGGACATTATAAATCCAAATTAGATTACAAAGGTAGTTTCATTTGAAGCTGAGCCCCTGCCCACTTATTTCTAGGCAGTGGGACAAAAAGCCCTTAGGGAACAAGGAGTGAAGCAACAGGAAATGTGAGGACAGTCAGTGGGATTTGGTTCCCTGGGTGAAGGTCACAGGGAAAGAACAAAGTGACAGGTGAGCTGGCAGCCAGGGAACCGCTGGAGTGGATCCTGTGGAGGCCTGTGCAAGCACAGGAGATACTTCATCTACTTCCACCACACAGCAACACGCCCTTGAACAAACCTAGAGCCTTCACAGGAGGTTACAAACACATATTAAAGGCAAATCTTGTTTTTTCCCAGAAGAGGCAGCAGCAGGGTTTCGCCTCAACGTGTCGGTGTATGCGGTCTACCCCGGCGGAGTCAGCAAACCCAGCTCTGGCAAAGGTAAGCCTGGGGGGTGGACATGCTGCTGATGCTTCCCACAGTCTGACAGTGGGGTAGGATTACTTAGTCTTAAACACAAGATGCAAACCCCTCCCACTGACTCGAGAAAAGTAGGGCTCTAGATGGAATCCTCTCGACTACAAGATGTGAAAATAGAGGGGTTTGTCAATATATCTGTATTAAAGCCTTCTCTAGGTGGTCTTTGCTCCTGTGCAAAAATCTAATGCATTCAACAACCACATCTTACAAGATACACCAATAGACTTGTTCCCCTTTAGAAAGAAAGAATCTGCTGCTTGGCACATTTCACAAGTGTTACAGATAATGCAAAACACAGAAAACTACAGAAAACAAAACACAGAGACCAACTGACCAAGCCACAGAGACCTCCTTACCTGGAGCAGGAATGATGGAACACTTGGGGTCGGAAGGGACCTTTTAAGCTCATCTAATCCAATCCCTCTGCAAAGAGCAGGGACATCTTCAATTCCACCAACAAGCTTCAGTTCTGGAAATTGTTTTAGGGAAGAGCATGAGCCAACTTGCAGAGGAATGTCATCATCTCCAGCACTGTGGCCCAGCTTTGGTTGTCCTCAAGAGCTGGGCAGGGCCCTGGAGATGAGGGAAGGATAACATCAAGCCATTAATTCAGACCAGAGATCTGACCTCTGAAGCCTCCCCAGCACAGCCTACATGGAAACTGAGGGCCTGGACTGAGCTTAAATAGAGCCCCTGGGCAGGGGTGTGGGTGCAGGTCCCAGGTGAGGCTGGTCAGGGTCATTAAGATCTGTCAATGCTTTTGATGCCCTGACAGAGCTGGATATACCTGCAGGAAACACCTGAGGATGTTGTTCACTATCCTGGGCTGTGATGCCATTTTAGATGGGTTATCTGAAGCTGCTCAGATACTTTCCCTATGACAAACCAGCTTCATGTTTCTGGTTGAAACCTCTCATGGCTTGGAGAAGGGCAGTTGTTCAATTTTTTTTCCCAAGAAATGAAAACAAATATTCCTGACCGGTTCATCTCAGGCTATTCACAGTCATTAGCTTTGTCCTCACAGACACACTGACAACCTTTGGCTCTTGGCAGGACCCCTTTTTTGTAGCAGCAGTGTCACCACCTGTCTGTTAAGGAGAAGAGATTCCAAGGGAATTGCTGAATTTGGCATGGAAGTAAGCTTGCTGCTTATTTGAGCAGAAATACCCTTCTTGCCATGGCAGGCTCATTAGCTGCAGATCTTCCCTCACCACACACCCCATCACACAAATAAATCATCAGAAAATTCATTCCCATGGGGTTCAGGCACTTTGGGAAATCATAGAATCCTAGAATGGAAGGGACCTTAAAGATCATCTCGTCCCACCCCCTGCCATGGGCAGGGACACTTTCTGCTATCCCAGGTTGCTCCAATACCCGTCTAACCCAGCCTAAACACTTCCAGGGATGGGACAGCCACAGCTTCTCTGGGAAACCTGTTGAATAACCTGTAGGTGCTCATGAAAAAGGATGTACAGTTCCCCAGGCAGAACAAATTCTTGTTTCAGGAGCTGAGGGGAGCAATGTGTGAGAAAGACATTTTGTAGTTGGTGATATGTATTAATCAATGTCTCATTCAGTTGGTTCTCTGAGAAACAGGATATTGTCCATTGTCCAGCAAGAGCTGGAGTTATTAATTACTTCAGAGATTATTACTTCAGCTTATTTTTTCTCATTACACCATTATTTATTTTTCTAAATAACATTTACAAAATAAACCCCAGACATATCTTCTGTGCCACCCACATTCCTCTAAATGAAATTATGGACATTTTTTCCCCTTCTCTGTTTTAGTCCCTCCAGAGGAGCCACTCCTAGACAGCATATACAATGAGAATCCCCACGGTAAGAAGACCTTGGGTAGCTCTGACTTATTAAGCCAGGCTTTCTCCTTGGCCAGAAGTGGAAGGTTTAACCCAAGAAGCACCTGCAGCACCTGGAGATGGGGATTTGTGAGTTTGTGTACATTTGGAGAGATTAGAGACAAAAAAAGGACCCTTCCGCTTGGTGGGGACATGACCCGTCTGGAGGGAAGGCTGCAGTGCTCTCTCATAATGCAAGCCTGGAGTTTTGCTTTCTTATGAGATTTATAACATACATTACAATTAAGAGGTAAGAAAACAAGGAAGATGTAATACCAACATATACCACAACAGCGAGGGACTGTTTTCATCTTGCAGTTTGAGCCAGAGAATCATTTAAGCATTTCCCACTCATTTTTCTAACGTTGGTCATGCTCTGGTTTGACATCTTCTGGTAGAGGTCACATTATGATCTGTTGCAACACTTAAACCAAAAGCAAAACCAGCATAAGCTGAAGAATTCACTTCAGCATTTCTGGAAGGGAAGGTAAGGCCATGTAGGAAATGGTTACTGATTGAATCACTCGACTAAATCCCCAGACATGACCTCTTCCCTCTCCATCCTTTTTCAGATGATGACCTCAGAGTTTTCCTGGGACTGGGCATCGGCATGGTCATATTATCAGTTGGTTTTGCAATTCTGATGTTTAAAAAATCAGTCAGAAAAAGGTATTACTTTCTCCTCCACATATTTTTTCCTTATTTCTAACTCATACCTTTTTTAGTATGCCTTTTTAGTATGTAGAATAAAATTCTTCTAGGATATTTTAAAATCAACTCCAGAAACCTGTCTTTTCAATGCAGCCTTTTCACTGAGGGCAGCATCACCCATTCACCAGGTTGCTGTATGAAAAGACATTTGTGTGCTCTACAGTAAGGCAGAGACCAACAAAAAAAAATAAAACGTAGGATCATAGAATTGGTGAAATCATAGAAAGGGGAAACCCACCCATATGGGGTGAACCTGCAGCTTCCAAGCCCCCCTCAAAGGCTGGATGCACTTTGTGTTCCCTCCTGCCAGGACAGTTTCATGCTGCATGAGGAGTAATTGATTGATAAAATGGACTGATATCTTGGGTTTTCTTTTTGTTTTCCTTTTGCTGAAGGATTAAAGTCACCATTGTGCAGCTTTTGCCAAAATGGCTGTTTGAAGAGTTCCCCCATATGGAAAACAGCAATGTGGTAAAGTCCCTCCAGGTAAGTGCAGGGTTATCTCCTTTTGCTTCCCCACAGATTATAGCTTAGCATCACAGAATCACAGAATTGTTTAGGCTGGAAAATCCCTCTGAGTCGAGGGATCAAGTCCAACCATTCCCCAGCACTGCCAAAGCTACCACTGACCCATTTCTCCAAGTGCCACGTCCAAGTGACGTTTAAATCCCTCCAGGGCTGGGAACTCTACCACTGCCCTAGGCAAGTGTGCCAGGGCTGGACAGCCCATTCCAAGAAGGAATTTTCACTAATATCCAACCTAATGCTCCCCTGGCAGAACTTGAGGCTGTTTCTTCTTGTCCTGTCACTTGTCACTTGGGAGAAGGCAACTTGCTCTGTTGCTGTGAAAAACATGGATGGGAAGAGGCTTAAGGTCTAAGAAACTGGAAACTGCGCAGGAATCATTTCCAAAGCATTTGCAAGGTGTGTGGCAGCCCAGATTAGCTGAAGTCTTTAAGCTTTGCCTCAATATAGTCTGTATTTAGTGGCCACAAATGTCTCAAGCTGGAAGGGACCTTAAGGCTCATCCTGTTCTGTCCCCTGTCATGGGCAGGGACCCTTCCACTGGAGCAGGTTGCTCCAAGCTCCTGATAATAAAATTTTCCAGTTTGCTACTACAATCCTTATTTTTTTCCAGAACAAGAGTGATTTAATGAGTGACAGTTTCCAGGATCCACTCCTGGACACCAGCGACCCCACAGTTACGGAAGTCGAGGAGGTGCCGGTGCACGAGGAGCATGAGAGTGTGGCCACTCCAAGGAAACCCAGCATAGAAGTTCCTGAGGATGGGGAGCACCCAGGGGCTGTGGCTCCTGCCAGCACCACAATCCTGGAGCACATCAGTGACTACAAACCCCAGATATCCAATGGGAACACAATGGGATATGTCGCAGCCAACATTTACCAGACGCAGCCCCCCGCAGTCCTCCCGGAACCAGAGATGAGCATCTTTGGAGACTACACGAGCCCTCTTCCCCACCTGTGGGATGGGGAGGCAGGGGCACCCCAAGTCTGCCTGCTGGAGAAGATCAACCTCATCCTAAACACCAGCCAGAGTGGGCAAAGCCAGGTGTTTGTCCCAGCCCAGGGAGGACACGTGTCCCTCCCGGAGAACCAGTGGGGACAGAGACCACCCAGCCATGACCAAGAGCAAATGTTGGTCCCCAAGGAGCTGCTTTCCTGCCTCAGATCCATGAACAGGGAGTCAGTGGATATAAAGACCTACTTTCCACAAAGCACTGGAGGGTTATTTTGAAAGGAATTGTAATTGTGGTTAAAACCCCATAAGTGGTGACCAAGGCAGGTATCAGATATTTGAAATCACCACCAGCAGAGCTGGAGCAAAATTCCCTGTCAGAAATTTGCCCTCTTGCTCACTACAAGTTCTTGTGGTTGCCTGGAAAACTTGGGCCAGTAACTCACAATTTTAAACTTACCTCATATTGGCACAAGCAAAAAATCTGTAAAACCTGGATCCCTGTAGGAACTGAAATGCCAAGCAGCAATGCAAAATGCCAATGCAAGATGCAATGTGTTATAGTTATTATTCAACATCATTCTCTCGTTAAATATTTGGAGCATTTTGTCCTTGGAGATGATTGTGGTTATAATACATAAAAAAAAATCCTTCAGACATCTTGCCAGAGATGTGTAAAATACTTGGGATTACTCCTGATGAGGAGACACTGCACCAAGGAGGATTTATGTGTCATACATGGGTGCCAAGGACTCTTTTCTGTGTGACAGAATAACCCAATTTCATTTTCCTCCCATTCCATAATAAAAACCCAATCAGGTAAGAACAAGCCTTCATTGCCTGCCAGGCTGATTTAAAATCCCTCTGAATTGGTTCCTGGCCTAATCCTTCACTTTGGGTGAGGGATTTATCACCTCACAGCACTTCTGTCAGTGCCTCAGCTTGCTGTGTGAAACACAGTGTGGCACAGCAAAATGGGATTTTGTTAGGCATGTGACTGAGAATTTGCATCTTCTGACATCCAGAAGGCGAAATGCAGGAGTCTCCTCCCTGCTGAGCAGTCATGAAACCATTTACAGGTTTTCCTGGGACTTCCAAAATGTTCCCAAAGCATATTTCTTTCAATTACTCCTAGGCACTGTATGCATTTGTCTATCAGCTGTTGCATAAATTGATTGATTTTGCTGTTTATCCTGGATATTTCCAAACCAACATCACTGTGGGCTGTGCTTGTCTCCTTCTAACACCCCAAGAGATCTGTCACTGATATTTCTGGAGTAGTAGATACCTGGCTAAGTGTGGTAGGATTATTCTTCAGAAGCAGCAAACTGTTTCCAAGGCAGAAATGTGACTGTTTCATGTAGGTGAGTCTAAAATTAGTGATTGCTGCCTGAGCAGGAAGGAAATTGTAGAAGAACAGCCACACACCACCAGTGTGAGATGGGGAAGGTATTTTTTTCAATGTCCACATCCTGAAACTTGTGCTGAACTCTTGTCACCTGAACTACCAGAGCTTACAGGGGAAAATGCTGTTCGTGTCAGGAAATAAGGCTGAAAGCTTGGTCTTACCTTTCAGGGTCTTGCTGATTGAATTTCCAGCCCTAATAACTCGCTCCAGGATGGATCCCTGCAAATATATCCACGGCCTGGGGAGCACAGGGATGAAACATTGCCCAGATCACGCCGTGGGTATTTGCCTCAGCAGTGCCAGTGTTCCCACTGATTTCTTGGGTGCTGTAGGAAACATTTCTCCTTTACATGGGTGTGGGGGTGCATCTGGTAAATTTGGGCTAGTTACTGGAGGAAATGGAAAGAGAAGGGCACAAAGATATATTTACATAGTGCTTCATCATATATATATTGATATGGTAAGGCCCTGGCACAGGATGCCCAGAAAAGCTGTGGCTGCCCCATCCCTGGAAGTGTCCAAGGACAAGCTGGACAGGGCTTGGAGCAACCTGGGATAGTGAAAGGTGTCCCTGCCCATGGAAGTCACATTTCTGCCTTGGTGAATGATCTTTATGGTCCTTTCCAACCCAAACCAGTCTGGGATTCTGTGATTCAAAACACTGGGCCAGGTTGTTCCAAGCCCCATGCAACCTGACTTTGGATACTTCCAGGGATGTGGCACCCCATGAACCAAATCATGATGTCACTCACAGTAGATTTATTTTAACATCTCAGAGTTCCCTCCCTTCCTCCCTCAAATATTACGTACTCCCTAATCCTTGATATCAGTATTTTCTAACATTTCATTTTATTGTTGGCAGTTGGATCTTGTGCCAGTGATTTCCACCAGTCATTTATCAGCTCAGGAATGAATTTTGTGTGCTGTTCAGTGCAATCACGACCTGGAGTTATGTGCCTTGGAGGCACTTAAAGGAAGAGTACACTGAGTAATGTCTCTGCCCACAGAGAGGAAGCACCAAAAACACTGATAAGTCGTGTAACTCACTGAGTGAAAACTCATCTGCCCATGATCCCCTGCGAGTGACATCTGTGTGTCTTTAATGATGAGACATCCTTTGTTCTGCATGAGTAACATGGAGCAGTGTACTTACACCTTACTTACACCTACACGTGGTGTAATAACTGCCAGAGCAGAATAGCTCACGACCCACAGAGATGCACCATGACACTGTGTTCCATTGCTACCCAGAGTTCTAATACAACCTCCCTAAAATAGATACTTTTATACAAATGGAAGAAGAGAACAGATGACAAAAAAATGAGAAATTGAGTGTTCAAAGCGTCAGTGGAATTGGAGAACAGCAGAGCCATTCACTCCTGCTCTTACCTTCATCCCCTCCATGGAGCAGGGTGTATCTACTGGGTATATCAAGTGTGGCCTTGAGGCAAGGGAAGTTACCAGCACCACTCCCTGTGGGACTTGTTTACCACCCTTCTTCAAAGAGTAGAGTTGGAGATTAATTAAACCAAATGCAGATTGCAGAAATAATAAATAAATTTAACATGTAATAAATTATGCATCAAATGTACATCAATAACTACAATGTTATATCATTTATGCCTCTCCTCTGCCCCTGTTACCATGCAGGAGGACATGGAATTCATTCTGGTTTGAGGTTTGAAGCACATGAGAGCTGGGTTTAGTCACAGCTTAGTCACCAACTCACTGTGTGACCTTCACCAAGCGCTTTGCCTTCATTTCTTATCCACAGAGTCTGGATAGTAACAACCACCACTGGTAAAGCCTCAGGATCTGAGGTCGAAAGCACCTTAAACCCTTTGGTAACAGGAACAGGACAAGAAGATCATAGAAACATCCTCTGAGTAACCTTGTGCTGCTTGATTTTATTCTGTGTTGCATTTACAAACCCACCCAGGGCTGGAAGGTTTGCAAGGGTTTGGTTGTCAGTAAACTGTGGGAGAGATTCAGTGGCAGATAAAGATGCTGCTGAGGCTAAAACTGAATTACAAACTTGAGCATTTCACAGAGCTAAGTAACACCCATCGACCTCTGGGGATTTCTGAGTGCACACACCGAAGATCAACGCCCAGATTGTGACCAAGGCTCATGCAAAGCTGCAAGAAGTGCCTGGATCAGCAAAAGCCTTCTGGAAACCTGGCAAGGGGAAAATGGTCACAGAGGGAATGACCTTACAACAAAAGTGGGAATATCCACTAAAAATTATGCTGATTGGTGTAGCCTCTTCCACCCTGAGCTTGGGGGGGTTAGTTCTTACGGAGGGAGGATGAGGAGTTGTGCTCAGGGTGGGAGGGCTGAGCACAGCGACAGAGACTGAAAACAAACTGGTGTTTCAGAGAAGAGGATGTGAGATGTGAGGCTGTGGTTGGGTCTCACCAGGCTCCACTGAATGTCACCTTCACAGGGAAAATCTTGTGAGAATGGCACTTGCAAAACCACTGGAGCAGGGCTTGGATTCAGGAGCAAAGGAGCCTTGAAAACAGTAAAAAGGAAACAAGCTACAAAGGTGATCTAATACAGGAGATTTCATGATTGCTGCTTACCAACCCAACCAAGCCTTTCCTGAACAATTACTCTTGCCACAAGAATATTAGAGAAATCCAGTATTCTTAACCTCAAAAGGATCCAGGTGTTGATGTATCTTGTGCATCATCTGTATGATTTCCTAGAGCGTGTAATTTCCACACTCTCCCTATGGATCAAGCCTTCCTTGGCTTTCATATGTGCAAGAGGTGGTAGAAAAATTACATTTACCAAACTAAGTGACTCATTTCATCCTGCTGGGTGAAGGCCAATTCAATGAGAGTCGCTGGCACACAGAGAGATGGAAAACTAACAGAGCCAGAGCAGGAGGGACCTGCAGTACTGAAAACAGACACCCCTGCACTGAGTTATTGCTCATTCTGCTGCTGCAGCTGTAACTTCAGCACTGCTGGGGGCTGGGTGCCACAACTCCACTGTCCAGGCTCCAAGAAACTGAATATCTGAGCAGCTCAAAGTCATTAACATGAGAAAGAAGTTACAGACCTGTTGGAGTGAGTCCAGAGGAGGACATGGAGATGCTCCAAGGATTGGAGCCCCTCTGCTCTGGAGCTAGGCTGGGAGAGCTGGGGGGGTTCACCTGGAAAAGAGAAGGCTCCAGGGACAACTTAGAGCCCCTTCCATTGCCTAAAGGGTGAGCCTAAAGAGAGCTGGAGAGGGACTTTGGACAAGGGCCTGCAGGGACATGACAAGGGAGAATGGCTTCCCACTGCCAGAGGGCAGGCTTAGGTTGGATATTGGGAAGAAGTTCTTCCCTGGGAGGGTGGTGAGGCCCTGGTAGGGGTTGCCCAGAGAAGCTGTGTCTGCCCCTGGATCCCTGGAAGTGTCCAAGGCCAGGTTGGATGGGGCTTGGAGCAGCCTGGGCTAGTGGAAGGTGTCCCTGTCCATGGCAGAGGGTGGAACCAGATGGTCTTTAAGGTCCCTTCTACCCAAGGAAGTCTGTGATTCTGTAATTCTCAACAAGCCCTCTCAGTTCTTGCATTTACAGCTGTCTCTTGGTGTCTGCTCCATTCACCGTACGAGCTCACCCCGTGCAGTCACTACAGACCAGCAGGGCTGGGGCTGGCGGAGCTCAGCCAGCACAGCTTCCCCTGAGCTCTGTGAGGTGTCACTGCAACCACCAGTGTCCTCTTGCTTTGTCCCCCCCGCCATCTGCAGCCTCTGAGTCTCACATAGGGCTCCCTCTGCCACTGCCACCACCCAGCACCACCAAACATCACACCTTCTGTCAGGGTGCTTTCCCCAGCTCCGCTTTCAGACCCACAGACACCCCCTCCCCCCAGAGAACTGATTACTCTGTACTTTCCTTGACATCACCCTGTCCAGGGGCACCAGGGAGGGTGGCACAGCATCCTCAGGGCATCAGCAGCTCCACTGGAAGCAGGACCTTGGGCTCTGGTTCTCTTTGGCTGTGGGGAGACACCAACTGCAGGGAACTCATGGATTTCTTCATGGTGTGTAAGTACCGTGTGCTCGGCAGAAGTCAGTGAAGAAGGAATTGTAGGAAGAAGCAGAATTTGGTGCAGAAAGGGAAGAGAAAAAAGGAAAGGGGAAAAAAAAGGAAAAAGATAAAGCAAAAAAGAAAATGGAAAATGGAAAAAATAAGAAAAAAGAAAAATGAAAAAATATAAAGAGAACAAATAAAAAAAGAATAAAAGAGAAAAGGGACAAAGAAAAAAAAGGAAAAAAGATAAAATATAAAATAAAGGAAAAAGGGTAAATTAGAAAAGAAAAATAAAAAAGATTAAATATAAAAGAAAGGGGAAAAGATAAAAGAAAATCAGAAAGCAAAAAGAGAAGAAAAAGAAAATAAGAAAAAATAGAAGAAAGAAGAACAAAAGGAAGAAACTGCATTTTATAGAGGGTAATGAACTGAGGATTTTCAGTTTAGGCTGCCTCTCACCATGACACAAAACTTACCTGGGCCATCTGATCAGCATCTTCCCTTAAATATATCCTGGATGAGTGAAACAGGCCCATTCCACTGCTCCCAGCTGAGCTCAGGGTGTGAACAGTGATGGAGAAATCAACACATGGGACCTCATTAAGAAACACGGATTAGATTCCATATAACTCCTAATGGTGTCCTGCTTTAAAATCAGCTGAATCCTGGTCTGGCCACGTGGAGCTGGAGCTGTGCTGGGAAGGGCTCTGTGAAAAGGCAAAGTGTAACATGAACTGATGAAGACAGAGGAAAAAGAAGAGGTAAAAGAAGCTGTTGATATTTGGGATTTTGTGGGGTTCTGGCTCACCCAGCTCACTCTTGGCATGTTAATGATATAATGGCAGCTCTGGAAAGGAGCACAAATGTTACTCCAGGCCTTGGGAGAAGGACAAGCAGCTGGAGGCTCAAAGGCAAAATTTGAGACTCTTGGAAGATGCAAGTTTTGTGCTCCCTCTGCCCCTTCATTTCAACAGCTGTCCCTGAAATACCTATGCTGTGGTTCAAGGTAGGAAAATGTGATTGTAATTAGTGAGGAAAACTGAGTTGATGTTGTTGGTGCCCAGAAAAAGAGAAGGAACGACAGCAATAAGATACTCACTCATTGAAAGCTCTCTTAAACGTGGCAGGTTGTGGGAGTGCTGAGAAAAATGAGAGAAAGCAAAAATCCCATCAAAGAGAAGATAAAAATCAGTGTGGGTGAGTCTCTGGACAAGCCCCTCGCTCCTGTCAAGGGAGGTTGGATTTCCCTCTTTTTCTTTTTCTTTTTCTTTTTCTTTTTCTTTTTCTTTTTCTTTTTCTTTTTCTTTTTCTTTTTCTTTTTCTTTTTCTTTTTCTTTTTCTTTTTCTTTTTCTTTTTCTTTTTCTTTTTCTTTTCTTCTTGCCTTGCCTTCCCTTCCCCTTTCCCCCTCCTGTCCCGTTTCCGGATCCCTGGGCGGGGTGGGTCGGGCCGTTCCGTGCCCTCCTCGCACACGCGGGATCCGTCGCGCCGTGGGTGAGTAACCCCCGCTCGGGGGGCGGGGGGGCTGCGGGACGGGCATCCCAGAGGGTACCGAGGGTGGGGATCCCCCCGCGTGGATTTTCGCTCCTGAGGAGAGATTCCCCGCTTCGGGCAGCGGTATAGCGGTGCCCTGGGAAAGGTGGCATTCCACGGATGGACGCCCCGGGATGCTGCTGCCGCGGGATATTCCCTGCCGCGGGATACTCCCTGCCGCGGGATGCTCCCTGCCCCGGGATTCTGCTGCCCTGGCATGTTCACTGCCCTGGGATGCTGCTGCCCTGGGATATTCCTGCCCCGGGATGCTACTTCGCCGGGATGTTCTCTGCTCTGGGATGCCGCTGTGCTTTGCGCTCTCTCTCAGGGGTGCTGCTGCACAGGGATGATTCCCTGTCCCAGCATGCTGCTGCCCCCGAATGATCGTTATCCCGGGATGCTGCTGTCCCGGGATGCTCCTACCTGGGGATGCTGCCCACTAGGGCACATCGCCTGCCCTGGAATGCTCACTATCCCTGGATACCTCCTGCACTCTGTGATAGAGCTGCCTAAGGAGTGCAGAGCCCAAGGGCCATCCTCTAGGAGTAACTCTGTCCTTCATCCCAAGAGGTCTGATCAAATCTCCCCGCTCTTGGGTAGCTTTGGGAAGAACCACCAGCCCCCGGTGGAATGTTCCCAAGGCTATGGGATGACCCGGGTGTCACTGTCCTCACGGGACCTGGGAAACCAGGACAGCCAGAGGGGGGAGAAGCTCCCTTTAGAGCACAGCCAGATTCAGTAATAGCTGAGGCACAAACAGTGGATTTTTTTCTGGGTGAAATACAACACCACAAAATGCTCCTGTTTCCACCCGTTGTTCCTGTGAGTTCTTCAAACACACAATGAGCTCTGCACGGAGCTTTTTCAGGGAGAGACGGGGACAAGCGCATAAAAAGGTTGGTTCAAGGCCAACTCCCAGGCTGTTGTGCTTCACAACTGGTTTCATTTCAGAGCTCAAGGGCTGTAGTTACAGCCTGTGTCACTATGGCACATCCACAGAGTCACAGACTGTGAGGCCCTGGTGCTTTCAGCTGAGATTTCGGAGATAAGAGCACAAACAGGCACCACCTCGTCCTCCACAGACTTCTCATGTCCTTCCTCCACCTTTACTCCAGGACAAGGTCCTTTGTATTTCTGTACTCTGCATGTAGTGATACCAATTTTTTCATTGCTGTGGAATATGTTTTTTTTTTTTCCTGTTAATTTTTCCCCATATATCTCTGTCCTGAGCTGAAGGTTGTTTCTAATTCATTTCTCATAATTTACTCTGATCACGGTTCACGTCTCATACTTCCCCAACCAAACCACTGATTAAATTATTTGAAGCCAGACTGTTTTTTGCCTGTTGACTCAAATATTTTGGGTAGTTCTGCTGTCAGAAGAAGCTCTCTGAAGGGTGTTTACACAGTCACCAGGCAATTTCAGTTTATTGGAAGGCAAAGCATTTACTTGAAGAACCTTGGGGTGTTGTATTTGCTCATCCTGGCAGTTACTAATCACCTACAGAAGGCACCACATGAAGAGGCTTTGGGAAAGCTGAGGCACTGCAGCAAGGCTGAAAGTTACAGCCTGAGGAACGTCTGGATTTAGTTTAAAAACAGTATTTATAAAACCTGGCTTATTGCCACAATACGCGTTTTGGCAAATCTTATGTATTTCACATTCAGTTTCAGTATTGGTTCGTTTAAAAACCATCCATTTCATTATCTAAAAACAACCTGAAATAACCATTTTTGTTGTTTTTATATTAATATTCGCTTTGGCAAAGACTATACTGTGCTTGGAAATGCCCCTGGCATGAAAATCAGCGAAGATTTAAAGTAATAGTACTGGGAAAAAAACCTACTGCTTTCAAGCAGTTTGTTTCCAGTATGGCATCAAATTATTACAGGTCAGAAGTTAGAGAAAGTGCTTGTTGCTGTATTCACTTCTGAAGTATCCGATGTATTCCCACGGCACCTATAGTTCTGCAGGGAAGGTATAAAAAAGGGAGTATTTGTTAATGCTTGTTGTAAAAACTATTTGAAAATACTGAGCTCAGTTCAGGTTGAGCTTGAATAATTTGTGTAAAACATTTGTGTCCATTAGAAAGGTCTCCTGAAGTGAGTATTTGGGATTTTCTGAAGTTGTAAAGTAATAAAACATGAAGACCTGTAAATTATATCCCCACTCTTTAAGAACTGGTAACAGGAATTCATTTCTCTATAGGGAGCAAAATGGTATTTACATGGATCGTGCCCTCAGCAGTTTGGTTGGTGATGCACTTCACAGCAGGTAAGATAAATTTTTTCCCTTCAGATAAATGATAACTTTAAAAGAAGCACCCAGGCTAAGTAGGGTGGGTTTTTTCAGGTTCTTCATGGAGTGCTACTGAACTTCTTCCTTACTGGAGAGCAAAGAGTTGCTAATTAGTTATGCGGGGACGTTATTAAGTCTATTTTGAAGTAAAACTGTTAGTTACATCAGTGAGCTCCACTGAGAGTGACAGAGCTCATGAACAGGGAGAAATGGTGCTCCAGCACTTTCACAGAACCATGGAATGGTTTGGGATGCAAGGAACATTCAACATCATTCAGTTCCACATCTGCCATGGACAGGGACACCTTCCACTATCCCAGGCTGCTCCAAGCCCCATCCAAACTGGCCTTGGACACTTCCAGGGATCCAGGGGCAGACACAGCTGCTCTGGGCAACCCCTGCCAGGGCCTCCTCACCCTCCCAGGGAAGAATTTCTTCCCAATATCCCATCTAACCCTGCCCTCTGGCAGAGGGAAACCATTCTCCCTTGTCGTGTCCCTGCAGGTCCTTGTCCAAAGTCCCTCTCCAGCTCTCTTTAGACTCCCCCTTTAGGCACTGGAAGGGCTCTAAGGTCTCCCTGGAGCCTTCTCTTCTCCAGGAGAACACCCCCAGCTCTTCCAGACTTTCTCCAGAATAGAGGGGCTCCAGCCCTTGGAGCATCTCCAAGGGTCCTCTGGACTTGCTCCAGCATCTCCACATCCTTCCTGTGCTGCCTGCCATGACTTTCCTGGCACATAAATACATTCTTAAATGAAACAAGAGTTTTGGTAGATTTTCCCTGGGGTTGTGCTGGTTTTTTGGTGACTGATTATGATCCCGTGGTTGCTGACCCCATTTAATCAGACTGGGCCCAGCAACATTTCAACATTTCACCATGCAGAGGCAGGAATTCTTGAATAAGATGTTTGGGGAAACTCTTCCTTGAGCGAAGTATGTTGTGGAAGACAAGGGATGGATTCCTGTGAAACCTTTGTTTTCCAATTGTGTTGCAGAAGCCTGCAGGAAAGGGATCATGACTTCCAGCAAAGCTCCCCATGGCACTGAGGAAATCTGTGACAAAGGGACTGTGACAGCCAACACTGCCAGTGCCATCCAGTGTGGGACCAATGTCACCCTGTCCTGCCACCTGGGAGGCTTGCAGACAGCTAACTGCAAGATAGGGATTTTCCTTAACAACTCTGAACAAGTTACAAATTCCGACCGTTCAGTAAGAAAAACATTTCCACTCGATACCTACGGCAAACACACCTTTACGTGCAAAACGATCTGTGAAGAAGGGAATACAATCATTTGTGGAGTCTATATCAAGTGTGGAAGTAAGGATCATCGATTATTAATTATTCCTTGTTCTCAAACCTTTCCTGTGGCACCTCTGAGCCACACAGTAGAGACTGGCAGTGGGTGGCCTTGTCCAGGACAGGTGTTGTCTTAGAGGGGCTCTTTGTATTTAAAATATTCCTGGCTAGAATTGTGCAACTCTGTTATTCCTGAAGGGGGAGATGCTAAATCAAACTGCCTGCTCAGAGCAAATAATATCCTCTCTCCCAAGCATTTCCTAAAATGTCTTGTAGCATCTTTAAGAAAGAAACATTGAAAGCCAGGTTGGACAGAGCTCTGAGCAACCTGGGCTAGGTGAAGATGTCCCTGCCCATGGCAGGGGGTTGGACTGAATGCCCTTTAAAAGTCCAACCCAAACCAGTCTGTGATGCTAAGACTGACAGGAATATCTGTTTAAGATCCTCCAGATGAGCCAGTAAACGTGTCATGTATCCAGGCTGGGACAGACAGCCACCCCCTCTGCACCTGGAATAAGGGAAGGCTCACATACCTTGACACTACGTACGTGATACAGTGAGTAATGTGGGGATGTAGGTTGCTTTAATACCTCTGATTACATCTTGGAGCAGCTCAAATCCCTTTTCTGGTTATGCACTACAGCAGGTTGGCCCCAGCTGGGTTCACAAGGTAAAGAGGGAATGCCAAGGTATCCCTTTGGAATGGGATCCATGTCGCCACACATCCAGGTCTACAGAAGAGCAATAACCAAACATCTTCCCTCTGTTCCAGGCTCTCAAATGGGACACATGACCTGTGCTTTTCAGAAGAAAGTCTGAATGAGACATTTGGCTCGTTGGCTCTGACAGAGTTGAATTTTGACTCCAATTACACTGTTGTGGTTTCTGCCTCCAATAAGCTGGGAAGTGCTTCTTCACAGCCACTCATCTTCATGTTAATAGACATAGGTAAAGCAGGACTTTCCACCTCTCAGTCAGTCCTACCACTTTGGGAAGATCTGAGACATTCTGAGCACTTTCTTTTTTAAACCTCTTGGGAAAATCATCCATCCAGCCCAAACTAATAACTCTATTTTCCATCCAACCCTCAATCCAAGCTGTGTTGTGTTTCTGAGCATCCTCTGCTTCTTTCTGTTTTGCTGCCAGTGAAGCCACATCCTCCTGACTTTTTAGTGGAATTTGACAATTCTTCTGACACCAACTGCACTCTTTTTTGGCACAATGAAGCACAAGCACAACACTACAGGCTGAGATACCGTCCCCTCACCAGGCACTCCTGGAGCACGGTAATCATCTTCGGGATAAAGGAAGTTATGGACTTGCTGGAGAAGAGAAGGCTCCAGGGAGACCTTAGAGCTCCTTCCAGTGCCTAAAGGGGGAGCCTAAAGAGAGCTGGAGAGGGACTTTGGACAAGGACCTGCAGGGACATGACAAGGGAGAATGGTTTCCCACTGCAAGAGGGCAGGGTTAGATGGGATATTGGGAAGAAATTCTTCCCTGGGAGGGTGGTCAGGCCCTGGCAGGGGTTGCCCAGAGCAGCTGTGTCTGCCCCTGGATCCCTGGAAGTGTCCAAGGCCAGTTTGGATGGGGCTTGGAGCAGCCTGGGATAGTGGAAGGTGTCCCTGCCCATGGTAGGGAGTGGAACTGGATTTTAAGCTCCCTCTCAGCCCAAACCACTCTGTGATTCTGTGATTCTACAAAGTCTTTGCTCTTATTTTAAGAGGCAAAAGAAACCTATTGCTGGAAGTTGAGTCAATCACACAAACAGAGATTTTGCTATTGTCACATAATTAAATGAGGGGTTTTTCAGATGAAGCCCTGCAAGCCTGAGGATTCATTGCATCATTCTTTGAGTTATTAAAGCCACCTCAGATCAGGGTTTCCCTGTTGTTTTTTAAAGCTTCACATGGGCATTTGTGATTCAGCTGTCACCGCCTTCAGCCTTTGTCTCCTCGTGAGTTTAGCATTACATGTTCTTTATCTCTGTTAAAGGTTGAAATCTTCAGCAGTGAACAATACCACCTTCACGGGCTGGAGCCTGACACAGCCTATGAGTTCCAGGTCAGCTGTAAAATTCACCCCGAGCGAGGGCTGTGGAGCGACTGGAGCACGAACCAAATCCGGACTCCAGAAGCAGGTAACACAAACCAACACTAAACCTGCACTAAACCAGTGCCAGCAATTGCATTCAGTGTGTGACTTCAGCTAATGAAGTCAAACTGCTGCTGGGTTGGTTTGTAGAGGCTCTGTGGATCCAGACCCGGAGCCAAGAGAGAAGTAGCTCCTGTAAGAGAGTTGCTTTTTTAATGAACAAAGATGAAGCTGTTCAAGTTCCTTGCAAAACCAGAATTTCAAGAGTTCACTGAGAAGAGCTGAAGGATAAGGGGGTTGGAATAAAATGATTTTTAAGGTCTTTTCCAAGCCAAACCATTCCGTGATTCTCTGATCTGCTACTTGGCTTTGTTTGCTCTTTTTTGTGAATTACTACAAGCCCTCCAGGTTTGGGTTGTTATTACTCATCCCATTTACCACCGTGACAGCATCAGTTTCTGTAAGAGGCATTGATTGATGCAGGAGGTGTGAACTTTTCTTTCCCTCCCCCACTTTCCTACCAACAGTTTTCTCCACTTCTTGTTGCAGCCTGACATTTGTGGTCATCACCCCTCTCCCCAGCCCTGCTGCACAATGAGAACGTGAATGTTTTTAGCTGATCAAGGAACACTTTGTGTCACCACACAAGGTGACTGCAAGGGGAGGCTGCAGACTAGAAGCTCTGGTGCAACGTTTGCTCTTTGTTGGAGGAACTGAAGTTTTACGTGTGAACTGACTTGGTGCAAATCCAGAATTACACCTTTTCAATGGGATGTTCCTTTTCCTGTTTCTTTTAGCTTGACCTGCCACAAAATCTGCCTTATGCAAGCCCTGTTCATTAGTGAGCGTATCTTTTTCTTTCCAGCCAATTCATGTAGTTCATGAACTTTAGGATCCAGTCTGGAGGTCAGCAGATGTAATCCCATACCCTACATTTTCTGCTTTGAGCTCACCCCTTCCTCCCTCACTCACAGCCAGTGAGCTCTGGTTTTATTTCTGCTGTTGCTCTTGCTTCTTGTTTCTGTTCCAGTCACTATTAGCAGCTAATACAGGACAAACTGCTCCAAACATTAGTGACATGGAGGGGTTTTGTGTCTTTGAATACAGCAAAGAGCAGGCATCCATGTCCTTGCTGGGTTCGCCATCAGCTGCCTCCTGCTCTGCCTGTTAGCAGCAATTAATATTTTAATTTGATGAGTTTATGTTGGTCAGAGACCCTGAGGAACTAAGCTCTGTCACATCAGCTTTCTTGACGTGTATTTCTGGTTCTGAATTTTTGGAGCTCATTCACCAGCCAGAACTTTGCTTTTGTGTTATTTTGTGAGGTTTATTAAGAACATCAAGAGTTTCCAGTCAGTCTGTGACTAAGAACTGTGGAAAGAATAGGGGATTTAAAGTACCTCCAACAAGGTCCTACCCAGCAGTTAAAGACAATTGTTACCTAGAGCCAGACAGCAAAATCCTACAGATCCCACAAACATCATGTTATTCTAGGATTGATTTAGCCAACCCCAAAGACCTTCATGAGCCTCAAATTTATGCAAAGATAACAGATAACACTGTCCCTTTGATGTGTGGGTTTCCTTGGTAGCCATTCCAATTATCAAGGGCAGGATAAAGTCACCAGCAGAGCAAAACCCCCTCCCCAGTTTATGGCTTGTTTTCCTCACGATCCCCTCCCTCAACAAGCTGAACTCAACAGCAAACATGGACTATCATACATTGCATCATTTCAGGGACATTTTAAAACTGAAATTTTCATTTTCTCAGGGTTTCTACCCCATTTACCTTCTCGTTGTCTTGTCTGTTTGCTGCAAACCACAGCTGCTCATGCTGCTCACCTTTTCCTTCCGCCCCAGAGCCGACCGGGATCCCGGATGTCTGGTATCGGCTCTCAGCAGCAGAACTGGGCTCTCAGCAGCAGAACATCTCACTGTTTTGGAAGGTAAGTTACGTGAAATCCAAGCAGAGGCAGCAATAACCAACAAGGTTAGAGGGGAAATTGGTTTATGCATTTTTAGAAAAGGAGTGAACGCTCTGAGAGCACAAGGCCAGGGACAGGGACACAGACCAAGGCTCACCTCTGCTGGATAAAACCTTCAGCGTTGTATCTTCCCCACACACCAACAAACACCAGGCTAAAAGTGAAAGCAGAAATTCTCATTTGATTCTGTGACCCCAGACATTGTGGCTTTAACTTGAAGACCTTTATCTTGTAGCACTTTCTTTATCAGAACTGACTTCCTGCAGCATCATTCATAAAACGGGGCAATGAGCTGCCTTTACAGTTTTCACAAAAGCTACAAAGCAAAAGACTGAAAGTACAACATCCTACCAAGAAATGTGCTCCTATTTTCAGACAAATACCCAAAAAAGGGCTGCAAATTAAATTTCAGCAGTTCCTCTGAGTGGTTCCAGTGCTGTGTCTGTCCTGAGCCACTGACAAAGCACCTGTAACACTACATTTTTCTATTTTTGGAAGTGCTTTGTTTTGTTATGACAAAAATCAGCCAGACAAATGAATTCACATTGTAGAAACATCAGGAAATTGTGAAACTGAGAGTACAACTGCAGATACCCATGGGGAGAAGAAACCAGGGTGAGGTGTTAATGGGATAGCACAGACTGTCAGAGATCTGTGTTCTAAGTGGTTTGATTTAAATAGGTTTTTATCATGGCTTTAAGAAAAATCCATATTTTTCCTGTAAAAAAATTTTTCTTATTTTAAAAAATCCAGTTGCAGTTAATGCTCTTTTTTTCCAACCCTTGGGAAAAGCCTGGCTTGAATTCAGCCTCAGGACAGGAGAGGGATGAGTGTTTCACTGTCTCCAGCTCTGCTGCTGCTGGGAAAATCAGCAACTCACAGCAAAAGTGCTTCACTAAACTGGAATTAAATGGGAAAAATTAATCATGGGACGGTTTGGGTTGAGAGGGAGCCTAAAGATCACCCAGTCCCACCTCTGCCATCGACACAGACACCTTCCACTATCCCAGGCTGCTCCAAGCCCCATCCAAACTGGCCTTGGACACTTCCAGGGATGGGGTAGCCACAGCTTCTCTGGGCAACCTGTGCCAGGGCCTCACCACACTCCCAGGGAAGAATTTCTTCCCAATATCCCATCCAACCCTGCCCTCTTGCAGTGGGAAGACATTCTCCCCTGTCCTGTCCCTCCAGGCTCTTATCCAAAGCCCCTCTCCAGCTTTCCCAGCTGACAGCATTTTTTCCAGAAGAAGACAGTAATAAATGCACTTTCCTCACAGGCTCTGAGCAAGTCAGAGGCAGGAGGAAGAATCCTGGGGTACAGAGTGACCTTTGAAGCCCTGGATGATCGGAACTCCCCCATAGAATCCCACCAAACCACCCACACCAGCTACTCCAAAGTCACACCAAGTGTGGGCTACAAGATCACAGTCACTGCTCGGAACTCTCGGGGCAGTTCCCCCCCTGCATCCATCCTGACCAACCTGGGCATCCAGGGTAAGGCTTCTGCTGGGTCTGGATCACTGGGAGAAACACCAGTGCTCTGCTTTGTGCCACACACTCTGGATCTGTTCTGGTCACACCACCTTGTGGCCATCAAGGTCCACGTCAGTTGATCTTTGGGCATCTGCAGATCCAGTTTTCCTGAGGTCTCCCTGGAGCCTTTTCTTCTCCAGGTGAACAGCCCCAGCTCTCCCAGCCTGGCTGCAGAGCAGAGGGGCTCCAGCACTCAGAGCATCTCCGTGGCTTCCTCTGGACTTGCTCCAGGAGCTCCCCATCCTTCCTTATGGCTCCGTCATGGCAATGGGGTGTTGGGATGTGCTGTGACACCATCCTCAGGGTCTGGGGATGGCACAACCAAGCAGCACTGTGGGTGTTCAATCCAATCTGCTAAACCTTGAGACAAGAAAAGAATGTGACTGTTCCTATCAGCACAAACCTCACCCTCCCATAATGACCTTTTCTTTCAATTATAGTTTATTTTTATGCTCCACATGGTGCCAGACTGGATGAGACACAATAAAACACATATTTAAAACTTAATGGTTCCCCTTAAGGTTACAGCAAGTTTGTGCTGACAGTGTCTTTTTGTTTGGTGTTTAAGATCTACCACCTCCTCAGCAAGTCTCTGCCATGGCCATGGGGAACAGCAGCATCCTGGTCAGCTGGAAACCACCCCTCAGGTCTGCTGTGCCCATCAGTGGGTACGTGGTGGAGTGGGCAGAGACAGGGATGAACCCACACCTGGAGCCCCATCACACCTGGGCAAAGCTCCCAGCATCCAACCTGTCCACAGTGATAGCAGGTAAATATACTCCAAGGTTGGATACAACCAAAGTACCACTTTATTTTGGAAACATTTTAAGGACCAAGGGAGATTTAAATTTTGCCTCCAAGATCAGGTTGGGCAGGGCTTAGAGCAACCTGGTCTAGTGGAAAGTGTCCCTGCCCATGGCAGGGGGTGGAATGAGATGAGCTTTAAGGTCCCTTCCAAACCAAAGAGTCTGTGATTCTATAATTTTTGCTAATTCAGCGTAAGAAATTATGGCATTTAAAGCTTTTTGTATAGGAGACAAAACAACTGGTGGCTGCCCTGGGCTCAGCTCTGTAACCACTCCCAGCTGAGCTTTGTATCTGAAAGTAAAATGTCTCTGAAAAACCAATCTCTCCAATATGAAACAAGCCAGATAGAAGTACCAGAGATCAAAGGCCTAAGAAAACGCTATTTCCTTTCTACTAATTTTGGTTACTAACCCCAAGCAGCACGATGTGTCAGTGCTCTGCACAGTGATAGCCGTGGAGTTACAACAGGGGTGATGGTGAGAACCCTCGTTAGTCTTCCCTATCCTCTGTCCTGGTGCTGTGTCTCTAATCCTCTCATATCCCTGCTCCAAATGAGCTGGAAAAAGTAGCATATTCCATAGAATCCCAGACTGGTTTGGGTTGGAAGGAACCTTAAAGTCCATCTCATTCCACCCCCAACCATGGGCAGGAACAACTTCCACTATCCCAGGTTGCTCCAAGCCCTGTCCAACCTGGCCTTGGACACTTCCAGGGATGGAGTAGCCACAGCTTCTCTGGGCAACCTGGGCCAGGGCCTCACCACCCTCACAGGAGAGAATTACTCCCTAATCCCCAGTCTAATCCTTCCCTCTGGTAGTGGGAAGCCACTAATTTTCAGTTTAATGCCAGTAAGGCTCTGCCTAGGTCACAAAGAAGGTTTCTTTCCCTTCTTTATGTAAGACCTATAAATAATCAGAGGATCCATCTCAGATTTAAGCAGCTGATGCAAACACTTTGGCCCTGAGTGCAAATACTTCAGTAAGTAACTATCTACTTTTAATTCCTATATCTAGAGCACATCAAAGATAACACGTGCTACCAGATATATGTGTTTGCTCTCTACCAGGACAGAGCTGGACGGGCAGCATCAGTCAGGGGATACTCCACAGCACAAGGTAAATCACAGCAGTGCTCTTCCAGATGTTTTCAAGCTCCTTAAGCTCAGCTTTCAAAGCCAGTCCTATGTCTTGCAGCCCCATCAGCTGGGCCCCAGATGCTCTCAACCCCATGGGCCACCGGAGTCTTGGTGTCATGGGAGGAAATCCCTGTTCCCCAGCAGAGGGGCTGCATCACAGGGTACCACGTGTACCTGCAGAGCAAGGACAGCCAGGGAGACCCCCAGGTCTATGGTGGGTGTCTGGGAGCTGGAGATGCTTCTCCTGCTCCCCTTTAATTACTGAAGTTTTCTAGTGGGATCATTCTAAGTTACTTTGAGTAATGTCCTTCTCCCCCTTTTCCCTGCAGCCATTCCCGAAGGGACGGCCCCGAGGTCCCTGTACATCCCGGACCTGCAGCCAGGGGAGCTCTACGACCTGTGGGTGACGGGGTCCACGGCGGCCGGGGAGGGGCCGCGGGGCAACAGCGACCGGCTCCGCCTGGAAAGTAATGAGACTGTGCCGGGGTGGGGCCGGGAGGGTCCTGGGAATGCTTTTCCTGCTCCTCTTTAATTACCAAAGATCTCCAGGAGATCTCTTGATATTCTTCGAATGCTGAATAGTTCTAGTTTCAGCTAATTTTAAGATGCAGCATCTCTTTCTTTGCTCTAAGCGCCATCTAACCTGGCCTTGGACACTTCCAGGGATGGGGAAAATCCCTCTCCACACTGTGGGAGCAGGGCTGCTCTGGAAGCAGATTTCTCCCATGGACTGGGGGACAAATCCAAGGAGGTGAGCAGGAAAGGAAATTAAAGAAAACAGAGCAACTTAAAAGAAAAAGGCTTGCTGGTATAAAATGTTGGATTTGGGACAATTACATTTTAAGCAGACAGTGCAAGGGCAGTAAAGAAAAAACCATGTTGGTATCTTTTGTGAGTGCAAACACCAGTCAGGCCATGACTTGCTGTTGACCAACTTGAACTATTGTATTTAATTTTTTTGATTCTTTTTGATGAAGCTGAAGGAAGGGTGCTCTGTATTTCAGGTGCCAGAGGCTGGGTGACTGTGGTGCTCACCTGCAGCTTCTTCATCTTCTCAGCCTGTGTTTGTTTTGTGCCTCCAGCAAGAAAAGCGTGAGTGGATCCGTTTGTTAAGTTACAGTAAAACTGGAATAATTATTAGAAGGAATTAAATCCTGGGCTGATTTGGGTTGGAAGGGACCTTAAAGTTCATCCAGTCCCACTTCTGCCATGGGCAGGGACACCTTCTACTTGACCAGGTTGCTTCAAGCCCATCCAACCTGGACTTGGACACTTCCAGGGATGGGGCAGCCACGGCTTCTCTGGGCAATCTGTGCCAGTGCATTGTAATCATCTTCTTCCTAACAAAAAATCTAAATTGATCCTCTTTTAATTTAATACCATTCTCATTTGTCCTATGGCATGGTCCTGTCTTCTCAGGACACCTGGGAAACAGCGAGGATTCTTTGGAATGCAGGTTTCAGAGCACATGAATTATAATAAAAACTCCTACTGAAATTAAAGTATGTCCACAGATACTGTGAATTTTTGATGCAGATCTTAAGGTCTGCTTCCACCAAAACCAAACTGAAGGGGTACCAGCCTTGGGAATTAACCCCACCCACCTGGGGGCAGATCCACAATCACACCAAGCTCCTGGGTTAATCCCACCCTGAGGAGCACATGGGTGCTGCAGTATCCCCATTCCTGCCTTTAACTGAATTACTCCCCCCTGCAGGTTCCACTCGCTCCTCTCCAAGCTCCTGCCACAGTGCAAGAACAAAGCCATTCCCGACCCCGCTAACGCCACGTGGGCCAAGAGCTTCACGGCTACCAAGGTAAATTAGAGGGGTTTTGCATTCTAATCCCACAGCCTTCAAAAAAGCCAGTGATTGGAGCCATGCAAGCCAGTAATCTCCTCCAGCAGCAAATCCAGCAATCTCTGGCAGTGGATAATCCCTGTGCTCGCGTTAGACCAGAGGATGTGCTGAGCAAATTAAATGCAAGAAGAATGCAGAGATCTTTTGTTTTTAGCAGGATGAGCTGCTGTGGGGAGGGATGTCTCAGGATATTCACCACAGAATTAATTCCATGTCCCTTCACAGGCAGAGCTGAGCTCACTCTCCATCCTGTTCCTGCCCAGCATTGTCGGTTTTGAAGAGCCTGAACCAACCTTGGTAGAGGAAGCTTTTGTGCAGCCTGATCCCCTGGCCCCTGGGGACAAGCTCCCAGTGGGCAGCGCTGGCAGCAGCGGGCACGGGGACTGGACACGGCAGAGCTCAAGTCTGGAGCCAGGGGAGGAGCAGCAGCTCCCTGAGATGTACCAGAGGCTGGTGGTAGAAGCAACGGAGCACCTGCAGCCTGTGCCCGAGTATATCACCAACTCCAGCACCACCGACCTGCCCCCGCCCTCAGACACCACCAGGGATCACCCCACAGACCTGCCAGAGTACATCACCAGCCCCGGCCCCACAGACCTGCCCCTGCCCACAGACACTCCCATGGTCCACCCAGAGCTCGAGTGCCACCCGCTGTCCATCTTCCCAACCTCCTTTTTGGCACCCACCCTCTGCAGTGAAGGGAATCTCACTTTGGACAGAGTGAAACTCAACTGCAGCTCCTTCACAAGGTAGGTGGATGAGGGGAGCCTGGCCTGGTGTTTTGCACTTTATGAAGCATTTCAGTGTGGACAGACAGTCCAGTCACTTGTACTTGGCACCTGTAGGTGACATAAACCCTGACTCACAAACCTTGCCAAGTCACACCTCCCTGTTCAACATGACATCTGCTCACCCACAGCACTCAGGTGGAACCAAAGGCACAGCTGGGAATGGCAGAGCTGGCTTTGGGAGAGGTTCATTAATTATTCAGGTCACCTCAAGCCCTGTCCCACTGCCTGGTCACACATGGCCCAGCCTGGCTGGGTCCACCCCAGGAATCAGAGCTGTGCTCAACATCACTTCAGCCTGAAAGAGCAAGGGACTACAAGAGGAAAGGATGAAAGATCAGCATCCAGCCCCAGCAGGACAGGGGCTGCAGCCTTTGCTTCTCCACTGGCCCAAAATCAGAGCTCCCAGTGACACCAGTCCCATGGGGGCACTGAGGGACACGGCTGGGACTTCCTGGCTCAGTTCACAAAAGAATTCCTCCCCAGAAACAAAAGCAGCAGGCAGCACGTGCACTCAGCCAAATGGACTGTCAAGAGGAATTATAATAATTTATTGAAGTATTCTAATTACAGGTTTGAAGTGTGTTACACATTTAATGACTTTGTTTACTAGATGTGTGTGTATATAAATAAAATGTTGGAAATCTGAAATTGGTTTCCTGTTGTTTTCTCTGGTCAAGCTCCAGGGCTATGCTGCAGCTTTACACAGAACAAGGCATCTTTAAAAATAAAAATAAAGCCGAAACATTGCTGCTAGAGATGAAGTCGTCCAGGCCTGAACTTACCTGGAGCACCCTCCTCTTCCTCCCCAGGCACAGGTGGCCACTCTCCATCCACTGACAGCTACATGAGCTGCTGAGCAGTGGCAAAACTGCTGATGAAACCCTTCTGTGATACCACAATCCCAGAGCACCTCCATGGACAGCCATTATCCCACCTGACAGGAACAGCAAAGGTCTCACGGCAGAGCTGTGACAGAGATGCACTGGCACCATGAGGCTGATACCCCAAGGCTGGGGCTTTCCACACTGCCCTGTGTGTGAAGAGACAAGCAAATCCCCAGGGCTGGGTCTGGGGGGATCTCTGTCAGCCTGTTCCCTGTTTTTATTCCTGTTGTGGCGGTGTTACCTTCTACAGGAAGCCCCAGTGCTCCCATGTGCAAAGGCACTGCAGGACAGGCTGGTGCCTGTCAATACCCATAAGCTGCCCCTGGAGCTCGTAACAGCCCCAGGTTATTCCCATTACTCAGCTCCATCCGGACTGTGACACCAGTTTCCTGCTCTCCACACCTCACCTGGCAACCTCCCTGGCAAGAGGACTCTGGCTGGGCATCATATCACAAATCAGTACCTCAAGTCAGCTGCGTACAACCAAATTAGACACCCAGAAAGGCAGTCAGAAGCCAAAAAAGTGTTTTTGGTGTTTTTTAAAAGCACTACTTTGTCATTCATCCACTTCTGTGTGTTGATCTTCAACATACAAACAGAACACTGGAGTCCATTTTCTCCTCATTCTGCAAGTCTCCAGATAAAACTTCCACACAGGGCAGTTTAAATCAAGCTTTAAGTTGAGAATCATTAGTAGGACAATGATCAGACTTTTATAACTCCTACCTAGAAGTGTTCCAGGAAAGGACACGAGTCTCCCAATAACGGCAAAGGAAACATTTTCCCCCAGTCAGGTCACCCTTCCCCAGCCAGTGCCCACCTCACTGACCCTGCTTGGGACACTCAGCCCTGTTGAAAGCCCCAGGCCTGGTCCCTGGAGATGGCATAGCAGGCCAGGAGTACAAAGGGAAGGCAGTGTGGTCCTTGGAATGATTTTAGGAAAGCAGCAGGTTGGTACATGCTGAAAGTGGCAGCTTTAGATCCAAGACCTGCCTTTATTAGTCCAGAGGTGTGGCTACGCAAACCCATCACTGTAGCCAGAGCTGTTACAGGTCAGGGTGGTCTCAGCCCCTCTAGCTGCACATCTTCACACCGATTTCTGACATTCTAGGAGAATCCAAGTCTTTTCCCACACCCTGCTAATCTCTGCACTGGTTCATCACCCTTGTTCGCTCCCAGCACCCCTGGCATTCCAGCTGCAAGATGAACTTGCATGCTCTGACTTTTCCATCGTTCTGTTCCAAAGCCAGTCTGCATCACGTGTTTCTTTTTCTGCTTTACCATCTTTTCCAATGGATCAGATTTTAAAAGATCTAGTCCTCTAGATTTGTTGTGACAGCAGAAGCAGCAAGAGGACAGAAAATGTTCCTAACAGCAAGATCCTTAGTCATAAATAACTACTGGAAATTAATGGGAATGCCCAGGCACCACCACAGGCAGGCTGGACCTCTTGAGGCAGAACCTGGATGGGACACTATTAACCTAAGTGGTTTCATTTCCATGTGTTTTCAGGACATTTCTTTAAAAGAGCATGAAAATAAACCTTTATTTCAGTTAACACCCACCAATATTAAAGATAAATGTTCACGTTTCAGTTCTTGACACAAATGGACTTAAAGAGGCAGATTTACATCTGTCAGAACAGCAGGACCATGTGTAAGTACAAGCTGTCTTGAAAATCACACATGAGGTGCTGTTTGGGACTGTTTTGTGCTACATGGCAGGAGAAGGGAAAGCAGCTGGTTAAATCCAGCTTGCAGGGTCCTACATCCCTGCTCAGAATCACCTGGGAAAAAGCAGAATGGCAACTGGAATGGCAGAGTTTGGAAAAGGGGAAGGAAGCCTATACTCCAGAGAAAGTTCTGCTCTAAGTGTTTCTGCATAAGGAATTAGTTGTGTTATCCAAGGTGTTCCCAGCACTGGAACTGCAACACATCCCACCAAACCACAAAGGTGGGGAAGAGGAACAACTCGACATTGGACCTGCCCCACACTGAGTGCAAGGTCAGGAGAGCTGAACCAAGAGATTTTACCACCCTCCTCCTCACACCCTGGAGCTTTAAATACAAGTGAGTGTACTGAAGAGACAAATGATATCCACAGCGGTTCACAACACAAGCGCTTGTAGAAAATTGCTCAGGAAAAGCAAGCCAGCCACTAACACCACATCTGAGGAGGTTGGGATTTTATACCCAAAGGTCTCCAACACTTCTTGCCAGTCCTGTACAGTTTTTAAAAAAATAGCACATTACCTTTAGTTTTCTATCTACCTAGTTAAGAAACTACAAATATTTTCTAAGCTGTCCAAAGAGTAAAACTAGAAATAAAGCAGGAAATCTGTTCCTGATCTCCTAACAAATGCTGCAGATAAAAACCCTAAGAAATTCTCTTTATTAGTTATTTGCTCAACTCCTTTTGTGTGTGGTGACGTTCCTGCTCACAGGGATGAAATTAAACCTACAGTGAATTTTCAGAGGGGGAGAAGGGGTTTCTTACAATCACTCACAGAAAAACATTCACGGTGATCTACCCAACGGATCTTGAGCACTGCACAAAACCAGGGCTAAATTCTGATGGAGAGCTGAAGTGTTGGGGCTTTGTTCTGCACTTTTTGTTGTGTTGTGCCATGTCTCCACCTGAGATGATGAGCCAAAAATCCCTCCTGTCAGAGCTAGCAAAGGGCTGGGGTTCCTTCCCCAGAAGCTGTGGGAGCAGTGCTCGGAATACAGCAGGTGCTGATGTACCATCAGCCAGACTGTGCTGCTCAATCCCACATCCCACCTGAGTCCATGTGGACGGCCGAGTCACAGCTACTGCCTTCCCTCACCTCCCAGCTCCAATGACAGGAATTACCCCCATCTCAGGCTATCCCAGCTCCCGCAACAGGAATTACCCCAAATCTCAGGGTATCCTCTCAAACAAAAAGCAAAGGTAATTTAAAAACTTTTTTTTTTTTGCCAACAAAGCATCTTGTTCTGTTGAAGGAACGAGGAGGGAATAAAGGTCAGAAGGGTGAGTGAAGGTGGGATACATTAATTTTAAAAACCTGGTTTTCAGGCCAGTTACCCACACATCATTCTGGGTCAATACAGGTATTGAACTACAAACCAATGTGCTTTCAATCTTGATTTCAAGTATCTGGTATCAATTTTGTATAAAGGCTTAGTGTAAACAAACTACCCAAACGAGATGAAAAATTACTGGTTTTCCATGTTTGAAATTAAGCATTAAAACTTAAGTACTCCAGGAGTTCATTCCATACAGCACTAACAGTCTGCCAAATTAGTATTCCACATATTCCAAAAGACCAGGGGCTGAGAAAAATCTGCTAAACAGGAATTAAGGATATGGAAATAGTGTGCAAGACTTAAAACCCAGTCTGGAGTTGGGGGAAAAAAGTCTAAAATCCTGAATTAAAAAAATGAACACAAATGAAGGGAAAGCTTTTAACTGGTACACACTGTTCACACCTATATTTCAAGTTTGGAAACGCATATTTTCAAGCAGCAATACAAAAAAGTATCCATGAAGAATGCATAATCTCTGAAAAAATTATGAAAACATCCCTGCTACCATTACATTTCTAAATACAAAACTGACTACCATATTGTTGCTTCTGTGTAGCGAGAGAAGTTCATTTTCAAAACAGATAAAATTCAGTCTTTAGGTGTGAATGGTATGAATGACAGTCTCTTTTTTTTTTTTTCTTTTTTAAGTTTCTTAGTTGTTTTAGGATCCTTAAGCATGCAAGCCTCGGAGAGGAGGGCCCGACCAGGGCAGGGTTGGCTTATGACATCCAGTTTAGGACAGAGCTGGGAAAGCCTCTGGGTCATCTACGTCAGGAGCAGAAGCACTTGACTGAAAGAGAAATGTCAGAGTTATTACCTTGGTTTAGAGGTGCACAGCTGAGTGAAAAGTTTGGGGTTGGACAATGCAGTGCAAAGGCAACTTTTTAAAACTATTCCAAGGACTAGAAAGTCTCTTATAGTTCTTCTGGAATCAAAACTATCTGAAGAGGAATTTTAGGCAAGTAAACTGTGCTTGCTCATCATTATTGCACAAGGTTCCATAGAATCATAGAATCCTGAAATGGTTTGGGTTGGAAGGGACCTTAAAGACCATCTAATTCCAACCCCCTGCCATCGGCAGATCCTTTCCTGTGAGCTCATGCCATTGTACTGGCACAGAGCCACCAATCTTTCCTGAGGGACACGACTCAAGTGTTACACAGAAGGCCTGTTTGTAGCACAAATTTCGTTTTCCACTTTCAATTTTTCCCAAGTCACAAACCACACATTGATAGGAAGAATTTTTGTGCCAATCTAGCCCTAAAAATTCATACATTAGCCAAGAATCTCCTGAGTACACCCCAAAAGGGTTTTTTAAAAGGCTCTCAACCACATGTAAAAACCAGTGCTGCAATGAAATGCAGACATTAAGTATTTTAGGATACTCTTCACTTTGTCCATGAGGGATATGGATGAGTAGACAAGGAAGAGCCAATATAGTGGCATTTCCTGTCATGGTACTAATTTATCAAGAAATACATTTAAACCATTCCAAAAAATGTTGTATCAACACCTATGGGCAAGACTAAGATCCTGTCTTGCCTAGCTAAGACTCCTTGGGTCACAAATCAGAATTAAAAAGTAACAGCAGGGTTTTAAGCTACAGTCTCAGCATCTTCTGTTGCTCAGCACACAACAGAAAGCCATCCAAAAAAAATGAGGGGTTTTGGTCCTCGCCCAGAGGGAACACACGTGCAGAGATCACCAACCTGGTTGGGTGTGTGGATCACGTCAAACTCCTTAACCAACTGGAAGGAAACAAAGGTAACACACAATCAGGTGCAGAAAAGCTTTCAACTACTTCAAGTCAGCATTCTTGAAGAGTATCAGTGAAACAACTCAGAGCAAACCACCACTGTTTAATTTAAGTTCTTTAAAACATTCTTATATTGGTATCAGGAAGGAGTTACCCAACTAATAAGCCTAAAACTTATAGAAAAAAGGTCTTTGTCTCCTGTAAGAGACAAAAACCAGCAAGTCTGATCTGTGTGAAGCCACAGCACACAGACTGAGCTCATTTTCTAATTAGTAATAATTTGGTTAGATGTCTTTGGGCCAAGTAAGTGATCCATATTAAATCAAATCTTCTCTGTAGTTATACTACAGTACTTCAACTTCATATGTTCTTTCCCAAACCTCAGTCAGTACTTTTCCAGGGTATCTCCCTAGTGCTTTAGCACCAGAGAAGGAAAAAAATTACTGAAGGTTAGAAAAAAAACAGTGAGTTGTATTGTCCTATGCAAAATCTAAACTCCTCAAATTCAAGATATGACATGCAGCTGTAAAACCAGTCTGTCACCCCCAACAGGTCACAATGTCCAGAAAGTATCCTCACTGTGTCTGAAAATAACCACTCCAGCACTTGGGGATCTGCTCTGGCACAAACTGAAGCAGCTCATGGTACATTCAGATCTGTCCAGCCTGAAAAGTAATTTTTCAGGTTCAAACACAAAGATAGGTGCCTTTTTTAATTCAGCCTACTCCCCACCCTCCTTTTTTTTGTGTTTAATGACAACTCCTCTCAAACATTCAATAACCTTGTTTAAAGTAAGCTTGTAAGAAACGACACCTCAGTTGGTTTAGAAATGTGCTGTTTGTTGTCAGAGCATCTCCCCCAGAAATAAGGAAGACACTTAAAACAACCTGTAGGGAAATCCCAAGAAGAGGAAACCAACCCCTGTGTGGGTGAAGCTGCAGCACTCACCTTGTCAGTCCTGCCTCCACGGCTGGCCCTGCCTCCGCGCCCTCGGCCCCCCCGGCCCCCTCTGCCGCCGCGGCCGGGGCGGCCCAGGTCTCCAAAGTTGATCTCCAGCTGGGATGTGATGTCGTTCGCGGGCTTGCGGAAGTGATGATCCATTACAGAGTCCTCAGCATGAGCCTGGAACAAGGGTTTCTCCATGAGTGAGAAAAATCACCACCTTTTCTGCACCCGTGGCTGCGCTTGTGCCACCACAGCCCGTGCTCACCTCCAATCCCACTGGAAAACTGATCCTCCACTTCCCCAAGTCATCCAAGAAACTTGGAATTTCTCATCAGACATCAAGTCATACCATTTGTGCAGACCACATAGGGAAGCAAGCAAGCACTTGAGCAAAGGTGTTTTGTGTTTCCAAGGCATTTCAGGAGTACACAGAACACTGAGGCTGGAAAAGCCCTCCCAGCCCATCGAGTCCAACCTGTGCCCAATCTCCACCTTATCACCCAGCCCAGAGCACTGAGTGCCATGTCCAGTCCTTCCTTGGACACTTGCAGGGATGGGGACTCCACCACCTCCCTGGGCAGCCCCTTCCAGTGCCTGACCACCCTTTCCAGGAAGGAATTCTTCCTGGAATTCCATCAGAAGAACATGTTTAGGCTTATCTAAGACCAAACTGACTATCACCATGCCGGTACTGAACCTCGTGTTCTAGCAATTCTCATTTTGTATCCTGAAAAATGCTCTGGTTCTATTAAGTCATTCCACTCTTTCAATACTTGGTCACCCATCCTTATTTTGCTCCATGAGGATTTACACTTTGTTAGCCCTGTATATATATTTAAAGCCCAGGAATTGTTGGCAATCTCTCATTGCTTTGCATTCACTGTAACAGCAAATGAGGCATAAAGAGTTCAAACACACATAACTAGAGGAGATAAAACACAGTAAGAATGACTCTTACCAATGACACTGGAAAATATGGCTCCCATCACCTTTGCCATGATATTCCCTGACTGGTTAGTTTCCAGTGCATTCAGGGGGAAACCTGAGCATCAGGGAATAAGTGACGGTCCCAAGAGTTATACCAAGTCCCATCAATGTGATTATTCAGCATATTTGAGTATTTCAATTGTACAATTAACTCATCCAAGTGCTTTAAAAAGCACTTTTTTCTTATTTTGTATAAAAAAATTTTCCATGTGCAAGTCAGTTTTTGGCACTTAGGATGATACACAGAATCTAAAACTCTGCCTACCACACGGCCTAATCATCGTGTTTTGGTACCATGACAACATACAATGTTTTCTTGCCCTCTTAGCCCCCAACTCCTGGCACAGCAATTACCACTTGCTTGGCTTCCCTACACAAGTGCAACGTGCAAGCTCAAGTCTCCTGACTCCAATTTACTTTTCTAGTGTAGTTACACAACATTGTGACTTTCAAAGGCAACTTATTGGGCAATTAAGCTGTGTATGCTTCAACTACCATTTGTGGAGCCTTCACAAGGCTGCCAAGGGATGGAGCAGTCTGAAATCAAAGCTGCTGTCAGGGATCCCACAGGTCAGTCACAAGCACCAGTATGGACAGAGCCATAACAACTCTTCTCCATCATCACTCTCATGGACCCTCTTCCTGCCCAGCTGTACATGTGCCCCCCCAATATCCTACAGTGCATGGCACTGCCATTTCATGGAATCATCACAGAATTGCCTGGATTGGCAGAGATCTTAAAGCTCATCTCATTCCACCCCTGCCATGGGCAGGGTCACCTTCCACTAGCCCAGGTTGCTCCAAGCCCCGTCCAAGCTGGCCTTGGACACTTCCAGGGATGGGGCAGCCACAGCTTCTCTGGGGGACCTGGGCCAGGGCCTCTCCACCCTCACAGGGAAGGATTTTTCTCCAGTATCCCACCTAACCCAGCTCTCTGGCAGTGGGAAGCCATTCCTCCTTGTCCTGTCCCTCCAGGCCCTTGTAAACAGTCTCTCTCCAGTTTAATTAAGCACAATGAGAAATACCCTCCACGCTGCTTTATTTCCAACGTATTCCACTGGGATGGATTCCACATAACAACTGGTCCCCACTCCACTCCTGATTTTATAGATTTAATTGTACACCCTTCCCTCAGAGATCTCTTTGCCAGCCTTAGGAAGTTCACCTGAGCAGTTATTTTCCAGAGAAAAGTCATTCCACACCTCAGCCTAACAAGGCACTACTCAAAACTAAACTACACCAACACTCTGCAAAACAGCACAAAGTACCTTAGTTGTGGTTTTGATTCCTTTCTTACTACTTTATTTTTTATCTACAGTTTTAATCACTGCAGGGTACTGACATTTTATTTTCATCTACTGGCAGCCATGTGACATTCTCTTTTCTGAGCGATAATGTCAAGGATTTCTACAGTAATTCTGTGATTTTCTTCCCTAGGATGTTTTTGTTAAATAATAAAAAAAAAATCACTACAGTTTACCAAAAACCACTCTATTTTCACAACTTTAACCACTGAAACAACAAAAAGCAAATTCCACACATAACCTATTCCTCTATCCAGAGTAACTAAAGCTTATTTAAAACAACAGCAAAAGACTTGGCACATTCTCCTCAGCCTCTTAAATGACTTAAGTGACAACAGACACAGACATACTGGACAAATTGCTTATCCTGAATAATCTTTGGAAACATTTAAATGTGCTCTGATCTCATAACCAGTGCTGCACTAAGGGGCCTTGGGGAAGGCTGTCAAAAATTAAGAACAAATTACCAAGAGGGCCAAAGCAGACAGTGAAAGATGTAAAAACACCAGCAACAACAAAAGTAAAGCGACTCATGATAGAAGCATTCCTGGTAAGGTTTGAAATCGATTGAACAAGGAGCAAGGGGACTAATCATGAAGGGTGCTGTGCACAGTGAGACAACAGGCATGGACAGAAAAGCTCCATAGTGAATCCACTTGTATTCTCTATTTTGGTGAGTTTTTACTGTGCAAACCTTCCCTTCTGGAGGGGCTCATGCTAACACACAGGTATCCCCAGTTAGATAGAAAGCATCAGTACCTCATTTGAATCCAGCAGACTCCCCTGCATTTCTGTCATCGCCTTTGTCTGATGAAAGTTGCATGTCCACGCCAAAGTGACAAAAGAACAAAGGGAGAAAACAAAAGGAAGAAATGAGACTCAACTACATACAGAAACAACAGGTAATCAGGTCACATGAACTCGCTGGGTACAGATGTCACTGAGCACACGAAGCAGCAAAGGGATGAGATGAAGCTGTGCAAGCACCCAGAGAGATTTAGAGGATGGATGTGTCACAGGGGCAGAGACAAGAGAAAGCTCAGATGGACACCAGGAAGGTTCACCAAGAGCTGCTGGGAGCCCTGGCACAGACCACGCATGCAGGATGGTCTCCAGCACCGTGGGGAGATGGGCAGGGAAGAGTGGGATGTTAAAATCACTGTTAATGGAAAAGCTTCCTGCAGAGCCTCCAGCCAAGAGTTGCTCCTCCCAGTTTTGAGAAGATGAACTATTCTTTTCCAAAATGTATTTCTCAGTCTCCCACTGCAACCTCCTTTAAGGCAGTGATCGGATTAGTGAGAAGCTTTGAAGGCACAGGGAAGAAGCACAGCAGGTACACAGTGCAGGAACTGATTAGTGTATCAGTCTTTCCAGGAGTCCTGCATCCAACTTTCAGAATAAATTTTAAGATCTGTCCACAGTGTAACCCCCTCCTGGGTTTGGGTTTGTTTTTTTTTTTTTTGTAGAAATTAAAGACTCAAGTCCTAAACCCGCTGCAAAGAAGTTAAAAAGAGGATCTCTCTTTTTATGGCATAACCCAATCTCCTGGAAAGAGGCTCATCACACCAGGACTGCCAATGTCCATGGATTTCAGATTAAACCAGCAAGAATCTGAGACAGTATTGAGAATTCATTTTACCCAAAGTATCACTTTCTAGTAACTGCAGAGAAAAAATGAAAAAGAGGAAAGACCTCAGACACGGTCAAGCATTTCACCCCTCAGTGAGGAGGATTAGGAGGAGAGCTCTTTCCCAAGACCAAGGCAGATGAACAGCACTAGATCCTCAGACTCCCTTTTCCCACAGACTCCAAGGGAAATTTTTCAGTAGTTCTCTACTATAGGAATGAGGGAGCTCATCACAATACATCAATCCAAATTTCTGAGAAAATCTACTGGGACACAAGGTGGTTTTCAGCCATAAGAACACAGAAGATTTGGGGCTGAAAACCAGAACTTACCTATAAACCAAATCACTTCCTCACATTCATCTCTCTTCTTAACAATAAGAATCACAAAAACCTTAGAGCAACCTGAATTTCGTGACTCATAAGTAAGTCCAAGGGGACAAAGAGAGAAAACAGCAGGTGACTGGGATGTTTTCTGAATATTCCACCTTCAACAAAGGAGTTGCAGCAAAGGCTTTCCTAACAACTGTATTACAGAGCTATTCTCTTATAATCCAGAGAGAAAATCCCCACACTGTTTCCCCTGGGATCAGGGAACAATGGATAAGTGAGATGGGGAGACACATCTGCTGGACAGACAATAAAGCAGGCTAAAAGCATCTAAATTTAAAGGCAGATTTGTTAATACCTCACTTTCATGCTTACGCAGCAAGAGGCTGTTAACTTCTTACGTGATAGTGCTAAAAATATCCAACTTATTTATTTCAATAGAACAATCTACTAATCATGTCAGTTCTTCCACGGAAGTAAATTGATTATTCTAATTGGTTTGGTTTGGATTTGTCTGTTCTTCGGGGTTTTTTCCTCATTTTTTTTTCATTAAGTGCTGATTCAGTTTTCGAATGGAAAACACAGTATGGATCTTTCTAGTCCCTAAATCACTCACGAGTACCGTCATCTTATACTATCACACATGCTCATGTGTTAAAAAAGACTGTCCTCAGCTGATGAAATGTCAAATAAACCTGAATCAGAAAGATTAAGGGAACTTGAAGTTTAGTAAATTTAGTAAATCTCAGTAAAATACATAAATACTTAGTACACAGGAACATTAGGTGTAACTCAAATTCCCTTTTCTACACAAGCGAGAGAAAACAGCATTTAATGAACACTTCATTAAACAGCTTAAGGAAAACAGAGACATGCAATCATTTAAAGAACTGAACTACCTCATACAGCAAGAAAATAGCCTGACTGTGACCAAGTCAAACTCAGAGTGAGTTCAATGAGAACAGAAACAGAGTTTTCATTGGAAAACTGGAAAATACCTCCCGGTCTGTATCATGGCCCAGCTCACAGGATAAAAACTGGCAAGATGTGAAAAAGCAGGAATACATATTAGGAGACCAAGCTGAGTATTACATATTATCTAGTTACTTCAAAGGAGCCATAACCATCTGTATACAAAGTTGCAGCCACCAATCTCTTAAGTGAGCTACTTAACATATTACAGAGTGTTAAAAGTGAAGATTAAAACCAAAGATTAAGGCAGCCCTGCATTACAAAACAGAACTCTCAGCACTTCCCTCCCTTGTACATCTCTCCTTGACACTCTTGGAAAGAATAATTAACACTTCGAAATGTCTGGAATGAGTATGCTTGAGGAAACCGATTTTAAAACAATTCGATAGCAACTGTGCTGAGCATCACTGATGCACATGAACGTATTTCAACCGGTTTCCCAAAATCTTGTCTATATATCACAAAATGAGAAGACACCCATGTTAGAAATTGAAGGTACACAGCTGAGGTATTAAGGTCTCTTGAGACATAACCAGTCTTCCCTCAATTTTACACTGTGTTTAGCAAGCACCATAAATTTGTGTATTGCCTAAGAGCTAAATTGCTAAATAGCATTACATTTCCTTGTTTAACAAGAAAATCTGACAACCTTTCTCTAAAATCCTCACCAAGAGGCAGTTCTTACACAGTTACCTGCCCAGGTGCAGCAGTAATCCAGGCTTATTTCTAGGTTTTACCAGCCTATACACCAGCCTAAGGGTACAGCTCACCTAAAACCAACCACAGTCAGAATGGTCACTTGTGCTACTGCAGAACTTCAACTCTGCTGAAAGAATGTTGTTCCACTTTATAAACTTGCAGCTGCAGGTCAGTGTCTCACACAACAGTGCTTCCATTCCAAGAAATGCCTATCAAGAACAAAGCCTTTACAAATTGGATGCTACAAGCATGGAAAGTCACTTTACCTCCTCGCTCTTTGACTTGTGAAGAACAAATCCTTTTTTCCATTGTCCGTCAGCCCCCTCGTTTGGTTTACGGATGTTGAACTCAACTTTTGCACGATCCTTGCTCTGAATGGCTTTCCACTCGTCCAGGGTCATTTCCTTAGGGCCTTCTTCCTTAACTTCTTCAACCTCATTCTCTCTGCAGTAAATTCATGGATATTATGTTCATGACCTAGAATTTATACTCTAAATACAACTCCAAAATCATCTGCTAGTTAGTTGGCACCAGATAATAAATTACACTATAAATCTACACCTGTTTTTATACTTATAAATTTATAAATCCTGTATTTAGAAGTTAAGAGCTGTATGTACGTAAACACACAGTTGCACCACAGGAAAATTCATCTCCTTTAGCCAGAGTACAAAAAAAAAAAAAAAAATTTACACCCAGCCACCTTTGAGCAACTAAATGGTGAGCACAGCAAAATGTCAAAATTAAAACTGACCTGTGCCATCAATTCTCTACATTAATGACAATTTTATTTCTAAATGTTCAAGTCTAACTTCTGCAATGGACATGTTTGGAGCTTCTTTACCCATTTTCTGAGGCACTTCTCTCAAAAATGTTCAAGTTAAGGCAGTGAGACCTTGTTCTTCCCCCAGTTTTCAAGCTTTTTAGTTTTTTTAAAAAATAGAATATAATCTAAATTGGAGAGTTTGCTTCCTTTATTAAACCAAAGACAATTATGTAAACAACTTTTACTTTCAGCTAACTTGAAAAAACAACTGCACAAAACTTACTTGTGAGATACATCACCTCTGCCTTCTGCCAAAGAGCTACTTTTAGTAAAACACACAACCACCATGCCCAGTAACAGACCATGTTCCAGCTACACAGGACGTCAAGCCTCTGGACACTGTTCAGTGTGTTTATGCAACTAAATTTCTGATTTACAGAAAACTAGAGCGGCAAACAGACTTTATTTGGTAGCCACTAATTTTCATGTAATAACACAGAGGTTTTATGTCAAGATTACTGTATTTCGTTTCTCATTGTGTAGGATAGAGTGATTTTTGACATTGTATGTAATCAGAAAAACTTGATTTGTGCAGGTAATATCTTTGCCTTGAACATTTTACTGCAGTGAAACATTTAAGGCAGAGATCCACACCAAACCAGCCAATCTGAAAAGTAACCCATGTAAAAATGCTTTTCTATAAAGACAACTGTGATTACAACAGATGTTTTATGCTTGAAACTAAGAATTTTCTGCAGATCTGAGGAAGAAAAGACCATCCAAAGAGCAGAGTTGTGCAAGTAACACTGCTACTGCTAAAGATCCAGGGAATACTGCAGACAGAGCAAATTTTATATATCCAGATTTCCAATACATAGAATTTTTTAAAGGATTAGCTAGCCTGCATTTTCCGACGAACGCTCAAGTTTTAAGTCCTTAAAAATGTCCTTAACCTTGGATCACAACACTGGAGAAGTAAGAACACTTAGTCTTTTTTCAGTTAAACTAAATCCATTTCTTACTCTCTAGGCAGTAGCTGCACCCTCTTTGCCAAAGTTATTAGTGAGGAAATCAAGGTACAGCAAACTCCATATCAGAAATCGAAGTTCTGTCTTATCCATTTTTTTTTGAATCCACTATAAAGCACATTCCTCATTACAATACAGTATTTTATTGTACTGTGCCACCATACTAACTTTTCATCATATTTTCACACCAACTCAGTAACACTTGTTCCGCTTCTCTGGTTACTCTTTCACTCACCCAGTCACTGGTTCCTTCTGTAACAGTGTCCAAATGAAATGGAAAGAGATCCAGGCAACTCTGAAAACTGCCTGCACACACAGAGGCTGGAGAATTAGAGATACAACCTTTCTCTTACAGCCAGTGACACAAAGTTGATTTGGAAAACTAAGGTTAAAAAAGTTGCCCTCCACTGGCATTTTGTCCCTTCTGCTTGTTGGTTCTACCCAGTTCTGAGCACGAGTTCTTTTGGATTTGGAATGAGGAGTTGCAATCCCAAGACCCAAAGTGTATTAGAAGTTATTATTAATAAATAAATAAATCTGAAAGTGATCCAAGAGCCTGCAGGACACCAAGGAACAGTTTCAAGACCACAGTTTTCAGTCATGCAGTTTTTAGCACAACAGTGGTTCAGCAGCATTGTGGATCATCTACTGACAAATCTGAATTCAGAAAAACTGATATGGGAATAAATGTCAGAGGTTGAAGGCAAAGCACTAGTACCTCTGGAGTAACCAAACACATGAAGAGAGGTGGTACTCACTTATTTTCAGAATCAGCAGGCGGATGCTCCTCTCCCTCTGGCGTTTCCTCAGTTACAGCTGACTGATCCAATTCACTGCAATTACATAACGGTTGGAGTTTGGGCTTTTTACAAGTTCATCCCTCTTTAAAGTTACATGAGATTAACAATCAAGATCTATAGTGGATTTACGATTTTATTAAGGATTGGTGCTGCCTGTGCCTTTCAAATTCTATGGTTTTCACCCAACTAATGGTTTTCCCAAACTCTTCCCTGAACGCCTCCCTCTGTCCCTCTGACAAAAAATGGATCTGGGTATTAAAAGTTTTCAATGTAATACTTGAATTTTTGTAACACAAAAAGCATGCTTAACCTGATCTAAAAACTGTTCTAGTTTCTAGTAAAAGAACTGTTCAAAGATCAGCACAAGACCTCTCAATATAAACTTCCCCAAAATTCCAGTTTAACAGTGAAGCCACCTCTTATGTTACAAGAAATTGCATATTTTTTAATTCTGCAGAAGAGCAGTGAAATCATCAAAATCAAAGGTAAAAAGGCAGGTAAATCTGTGCATTCTGTAAGCCCTATTTAGGACTGATTAACACTCTGCTAACAGTTTAGTGAGCAAGGACAGAATACTCACGTGAGCTCATCTTTGACGGTTCCCCAGTTGTGTGAGCCGCTGCCACCACGCTTGTCCTCGTGCTTTAGGCCGCTGAAATGTGAATGTGAAACAGAACTAACAAAACTGAGTTAACATCATAGTGTCCGGACACAGAGATTCAAAGAGCAATTTGCAATTGTGTAAGAATTGTAAAGAAAAGCCAAAAAATATAGAAAAAGTTAAAGACTTACGATCTATCGCTGCCACTGTGTCTGTCAAATTCCCGTTTGCCACGGGAGTCAAACCCATCTCCTCGGCCCATCCCGCGGCCGCGGCCACGGCCCCGGCCCAGTCCACCACGTCCACGCATGGGTCGGTCAATGATGGGCCTGGCACAGACAGACAGATGTGAGTGACTCATTCCCAAAAATCTACAGCATAGTTTTTACTGTTCTTGTCCTCTTTGCTAATTTTACTTATTTTTCCTTTGTAACTGGGTCAAAGCTCTAGTTTCAAAAAACCACTTCTACTCTCCATCCCTTGAAGTGTTCGAGGCTAGGCTGGGGCTTGGAGCACTCTGCTCTAGTGGAAAGTGTTCCTGCCCATGGCAGAAGGTTGGAACCGGATCATCTTTAAGGTCCCTTCTAACCTAAACCATTCTGTGATTCTGAGATTTTAGAATCCAGAAACAAATGCTCGGGACTATTGTTTGTTTGCATCCTCTGGCATTAAGTTCCAAAATTCAGTGTCTGTATTCTTTAACATAACTAGCTGATACTACAATTCCAACTTAACTCACTTTTATCCAACTTACTTTTAAATGGATTTTAATTCTGGCTCCTAAAATTTTAATATTTGAACATTACTTGAATTATGGATCCCTCACAATACTCGAGCCACTTTAAACTTTAAACTTCACGTTGCTCCAAGATGACTTCACCACTTCCAGGTCTGAAGCCACTGCAGCCAAGGTGTAAACACCTACGTGGACAAACTTCTGCTGGCTTTGAGTCAGCTGTACAAGATTAAAGCCACAGCTGTGACAGCAAACAAATCTCATCCTGCAGGAAACAGCTACACTTGATCTCCTTTCCTGAGCTATCTGCTATAGATTTAGAGAGATATGGTGGGTATCTTGATTTAAACCATATATTTCAGTTACACCTATGAAGCTGTTTATATAGGTCACTCCCAGCCTAAAACTTAAGTTTACAAACAAAATCATAGAAATGGAAAGAGAACTGCATGACATCTGCTCTTCTTTTGCATGACAAAAATTTAATCGATTTAATTATGATTCAATCAGCTTTTTTAACTTCACAGCAGAAGGCAGGGCAGCCCTGTCCTGTCAGAGGTAGGAAGCTCCTTATCCTGCAAGACAAAACTTACTTATCAACAGAGAACTCTCCCCCTTCTCCCTTCTCTTCAGCGGGTTTCTCGAAGCGGCGCTCCCGGGGAGGTCGTCGTTCAGGTCTCCGGTCAATGGGTTTGCCATCCCCCTGCTGCTGCTGCTGCTGCTGCTGATCAGGCCTCCTGCCAATCCTCCTTATCCCTGAAACATCAGGCCAGACACATCAACGGAATGCGGAGCTGCTATGGGACAGATACCGACCCCCAGCACCCTCAAACAAGCTGCTTCTACATAGTCTGAGCAACTCCACCTTCATAAAAAGTCACTGTAAAGCATCTCACTCTTCTCAGTCTCATTTTTACCCAGGAATTAAATCAAATTTTGTTTGACTGAAAACACTGGTAATCTGTGCTGAAATGACAAAGTCAACTTTCAAACAAGGATCAAGGTAAGCAAGATTTTTTTTACTGTTTTTCTTTCTCTGAAAGGTCCTTTTCAGGTAAACAAAAAAAAAACAAACAAGTGGGTTTTATTCTAATGAACACCAAAACAAAGTGATCATCACCTCATTGGGTCCTAAGACAGTCAACCCTGTGCTCCCTAGGACAGTGACCCTGTGCTGAAGGATTGACTCAAGGATCTTTGAGGTCTTTTCCAACCTAAACCTGGGATTCTGTTCTTGGAAACTCTTCTGGAAAGCAGTACAACCCAAGCAGGTCCACCTGCACCAGACAGGTGCCATCTGCATCCCAGTACTGCAGGTACTGACATGGTGCCCCCATCCACACTGATCCTCCCAGCTCAACACACATTCCCTGACAAAGATTCTCTTCCTTGTGCACTGCTTAAAATAGCTTAAGAATCCTGTGTCATGGGGCTGCCCAGTGTCCTTCCTCCCTTCCTAGGCCTTCTGAAAGGGTTTTTTTACTTTAAATAAAAACCTCCCGTGGCCACTCTCTTCTTCACTAAGCCATCTGAAGAGTAGAAAACTGTGTTAGATTCAAGTGAAAGGCCTTGTTTACTCTTCTTTAGAAAGATCTGCACAAACATATTGCTGCTTTGTTGTACCATTTTCTTGCCAAAGCACTGGCTCAAGAATTATGAACTAGCTTTTAAATTAAAAGCTGATTTTTGAATTTTTTTAAATAACTAAGTTCCTGCTTAACAAGCAATGTCAAATTTGGGTGGGGCTACAGAAGTTACAGTTGTAATGATATCCAAGCCAACACACCCAGATGAACGTCTCCCTCACCTTACAAGCTGTACTTAACATGAAGTTTGCATGACATCCATAGTTTCCTAAGCATTCCTCACTCGCTGAGGAAACAAGGGGTTTATCTCCCCAGTCTGCACTTGGAAAAGGGCTCTCCAAGGAGGACAAGCATTCCATGTGAGAAGGGGAAGCAGGGAGAGCAGCAGGCCGGTGCCACAGAGGAGGTATGCTGCAGAACTGGAATGGAACAGCCATGGCTTTTGAATTTCCACTTCAACGCCCTGTGCTCAGCAAAACCTGGTTCCAGCTGAAGCCTAACCCAAAATACGAGTTATTTCTCAGTATCACCAAGCTTTGAACTGCTAATTCACCAGTCAAATCACCTGCAGCTTTGTGGAGTAGTAGAATAGTTTTAAATACATTCACACAGGAAACAAGCCTTGGCACTAAGCACCTTTATAATGCCAGAAGTGCAAAAACAGTCACACACAAAAATAGACATTTTCAAACTGGAAAGTGACTTTGTTTACCACACTGCTCCACGGCCACTGCTACAACAGCAGCCCTGACTTTCTCTGTTTCACTACTATAATAGGCCACGAAAATATTAATTTTTCACACTGTTCTTGAAAACAAGATATGAAAACGGGGAGGTAAACACGGTCTGTCAGCCCTGCATAAACCCCTCAGTGTCTTCCTATGGTGCCAAAGGCACTACCATGATCCAGGTGTACCTCTTGGGGGACACCACCAGAATCTACACCTGACCAACATTTCCAGAGGACACTGGCTTAGCAAATTGTGAGGGGACAAATCCTAGCATCCCTTACACTGAAATCACTCTCAAGTGTTAGGGAATAAGAGATCCATAAGCAAAGACAAATGTAACATAGTTCCTGAAGACCAAGTTTCCAAAACAATTATATTAAAACTATTTCTTTCTCAGAAACCATAAAATACAGTGGAGAATCATTCTGCAATGCAAATACTGAAGCATTTAAGACGCTTTCACTTAACATCAGGATTTTTGAAATGCTCGTTTAAACTGCAGTTAACATGTTATTCCCTCACCCCCACATCACCTGCTGTCACCACACTTTGCTGCATTTCAAGGATTCCTTATAATCCGAGTCCTGATGTACCTGACGAGCGTTTAAGTTTGGGCGCGGTACAACATGGGCTGGGGACGCCATGTGTCCACATCTGTCCCTCTCCATGCGTGGCCTGTCCTACTAATTGCTCTGTCCCTAACATATTCCTTTAACCTATTTGTACTTGGATTTCTTTTTTCCAAAATTTCCCGTGTGGAATGTCTTAGGGATTTACACAAATACACCTGAAAATCCACAGGAGCTATTATTTAAATATATGAAGAAATGCTAACGACTGCTATCGATGCTGTTACCCAGAAAAATGACCAGAGTAGATTTTGGAAAGCCCAGGGACTGGCAGATATCCCGTCAAATCCATACGGCCACCCAAAACACGATTCGAGTTCAGGATGCCAGGTTGGACGGGATTTGGAGCAACCTGGTCTGGTGGAAGGTGTCACTGCACATGGCAGGGGGGTGGAACGAGATGAGCTTTCAGGTCCTTTCCAACCCAAAAGGATTCCATGTGCTGGTTCAGATTGCATATCGGGAAGAAATTATTCCCCGTGAGGGTGCTGAGGCCCTGGCACGGGTTGTCCAGAAAAGCTGTGGCTGCCCCATCCCTGAGGTGTCCAAGGCCAGGTTGGACGCGGCTTGGAAGGAAGGTGTCCCTGCCCGTGGCAGGGTGCTGGAACGGGACGAGCTTTAAGGCCTCTCCCAACCCAAACCACTCCACGATCCCGTAACACTGCCAGGATTTCCCACTTCACGTCAGCCCTCTCCCTCGGCCAGGCCCGGGCGCCCCCCGCACGCCCGACTCCATTTTGCGCGGGACACGTGTGGCCGGGCGGGCCCGCGGCCGCCGCTCCCGCTCCCTCTGCCCGGGCGGGCCCCACGTGCGGCTCGGCCCTACCCTATCCGGGCCCCCTTTGTGCGGCCCGGGCCGCCCTCCCTCCCTTCCCCGCGGCCCCGCTCACCCTCCTTCCGCAGCGGCGCGCCGGGCTGGCCCCCGCCGTCCTCCCGGCGGTCCCCGCCGGCGAAGGGCGGCAGCGGGTTCTTGCGCTCCTTCTGCGACTCCCTGCGCAGCTGCTTGGCCGCGCTGCCCGCGCCGCCGCCCGCCTGGCCCCCGCCGCCGCCGGCCCCGCCCGAGGAGCCGCTCTGCGCGCCCGCCGCGCCGCGGGCCCCGCCGCCCGCCTGGCTCCCGCCGCCGCCGCCGCCGCTCTCCTTCCTCCGGCTCTCCGCCGCGCGCAGCACCTCGAAAGGGTCGGACTCGTCATCGAAGAGCTGGTCGAAGCGGTTGGTGACGACGCACCCGAAGCCCTCCTGCAGGTGTCCCGGCATGATGGGCCCCCGTCGGCGGGATCCTGCGCGGATGCTACCGGGGCCCCCCGCGCCCTGCTCGCTGCCGCACAAGATGGCGGGCCCTGGGCGGACGCGCTTCTCTTCCGGCGCGGCCGCATCCGGGCCCCCCCACCCCCTTCGGCGGGGCGGGCGCCGCAGCGCCGCCTGCGGCCGCACCTGGAACTGCGCCCGCTTTGTGTGCGAGCCCGGAGCGGGGTTTCCCGCCGCGGGCTGTACCACCGGAGAAGTGGGGGGGGAGGTGGGTCGACGGGGCAGGCGGGGGGGGCGGGAGCGGGAGCGGGGCGGAGCGCGCTAATACACTGATCCCTCGAGACACCACTATATGAATATATTATAATATTTTCATATATATATATAGTATCCAGTTATAGCCAAAGTAGAGTACGTCAGGAGATTAAAACATATTAAACAGGCACAGATTTGACATGTTCTTCAAAGCACGATTTCCTATGCTCACAGTTTATATCTCTAAGTTGTCATTTAATTAAAATTGTAACAGAATTTCACACTTCCATGGACATTTCTACCAATCTAATTAGCTGATCTACGCAATTAGCAGGCATTACCAAGTTAATGTGGTAAATATAAATATATGTTGACATATTTTAAATATATATTGACATATTTATATATTAATATATCTATATATTAAAATAAAAATACATAATTGTCTATTTTTATATAGTAGTATCTAGTTATAGCCAGAGGAGGGATTATATCAAGACATTAAAACATATTAAACAGTCACAGATTTGACATGTCCATGAAAACACAATTTGAATGCTCACACTTTATATCTGTAATTTGCCAGAATCTTTTACTACATGTTATAAAATTAGCTTTGTGCTCAGCAAGGATAATATTTCTAATATTTGCTTATCCTGCTCCAAGAAGCTTGAAATAATTGCTTTATAAAGTAATTTAATTACATTTGTTCAGTTTTTGAATGCATATTGCTCATAAATTGAAGACTCCAAAACAAACTGTTTTGGAAAACTCCATACTTTAGTTTTTTCAGGAGAAACTGAAAATTATTTTTGGTTGCATGGATTGTTCTTCATCAGGTTTCCCTGCAATCCCACAGCTCTTTTTTGGGAAGGTCTTTGAGGAAACCCCTCCTGCGGTGGATCAGAGGGAGATCAGAGCAGCTCACCCCCTTCTTAGGATATTAACAACCACCACAAATTACAACCTAAGAACTCAAAACATTGTTTTCTCAAACCCTTTTTGCTTTCGTGATGAATCAAATGCCACCAAGCAACACTTAATTAAAACTCTTGGTGTTTACAGTGCAGGTATTTCCAGGAAAAGCCTTGATGCCCCATCACGCACTTGGAGGCCATGTTGCATCACACACATTCTATGAATAAAATCCAAATGTTTCCCACTCGGATCCCTGACGTGCTCCTCGCCAGATGGCACAGGCAGCTTTAAAGGAGGGGATTTGCTCACGGAAATGGACTTCTCGGCTGCCTGTCTCTGAGGCTTGGGATTTGTCACTCCCAGGGAAGACAGAGCTTCTCCCTTTTGTTGCTTTGAAAGGACTGTGCGTGTTCAGCTCCCCTGTGCTGCACTCTAAGCTGGTGTATGTTCAGTATTCCAAAATTTTTCAAATGCAGACATGGTACAATAGGTTTAGGTGACACCTTGAATTAAACACATGTGAAACACAGACAGATAGTGACAGGACAAGGGGGAATGGCTTCCCACTGACAAAGGGCAGGGTTAGATGGAATATGGGAAGAAATTCTTCCTTGGGAGGGTGGTGAGTCCCTGGCACAGGTTGCCCAGAGAAGCTGTGGCTGCCCCTGGATCCCTGGAAGTGTCCAAGGCCAGGTTGGAGCAACATGGGATAGCGGAAGGTGTCTCTGCCCATGGCAGGGGGTGGAATGAGATGAACTTTAAGGTCACTCCCAAGCCAAACCACTCTGTGGTTCTATGGTGAAAACAAATATTTTAATACAAACAGGGCAATCAATCATCAAGTGAATACAATCACCAGAGCTGTGCATTCCCTTTGGCAGGAAGCAGGAACTGGAGCCTGTAGGAAGCTCCAGCTCCTCTCCGCACTGTCACACTCTATTCCTTCATGTCGGTGTTTGCATTAAAGAGCCCCATAATCAGCCACACAGGTCAAAAGGCCAAATGACAGTGTTGTCCACCGAATATCATTAACAGCTTTCAGAGACTTCTGGCCATAAGACAACATTTCCATTCCTAACATTAAAAAGGGGGTATTAAAATATTTAAATTAACTTCCTTGCAGGAATCACAGTCCACACTGGATCGGGACATGGATCATACTGCAGTTGCCAAGGGAAGGATGGATGGCAAGGTTTGGGGTTTTGCTGCTCTTCAAATGTTGGCAAAATTTCCTACCAGAGAATCATTCATGCATGATCATCAATACCTAATCAGTCCTGAAGATCTGAACCACAGACAACCACTGCTTGTGAATTAAATAGCCAAGGACTATTAACTCAGCACTTCTGCTCCTAATAAGAGACATACTTTTATATTACATCTTCCAAATCCCCAAAACCCCACATATGGGTCTCAGGGCAGCCATCTCATTAGTGCTGCTACTGATTGCACTCATTAGGCACCAGCGGACAGTGAGGGAGTAATTAAAAAATCCACATAATTCTTCCAGGAGCTGCCACCGAGAGCTGGGCTGGCTGCTGCTGTCCTCCTGCAAGACAGACGCTTGTGTTCTCCTTTCCCACTGGAGTAAAACCAGCATTTCCACAGGCCAAAGGAGCAGCTTGCTGTGCTATTTGTGGCTGGGACACGCAGAGATCCTTGGCCAAAGCTGGCCTATAGATAACCTGCCTCAGGAGCTGCTCCCAGGCTGCTGCCCAAAAGAGGCCCGGAGAGCTTTTGGACATGCTACACTCCTCTGCTATTCCCAAGCTTTGCCAGCAGCTGTCAGCTGCCTGCTTAATAAGCAGGAATAGGAAATACAGCAAGTTCGGGTCACAGGGAAAAGCATTCATCTGGGTCCTCCCTCTATTCCCAAAATATGATTTTCCTAATTTTTAACTTCATAAATTTTTTTGCAGGTTTTCTCCAGATGCATGTGGTACTTTGCTGTCAGAATGGATGGTGTATGGACAAGGAGGGGTTTTTCTGAGATGGATTTTTTCCTAGGTTGGACTTGATGTCTTTTCCAACCTTAATGATTCTATGATTCTAGGCCATAGGAAATACAGGTATTTCTTGTACAGAAAATATTTGCTTCCAACTAAAGCCAAGTATGGCCTCAGCTTCTGAGTAAAAAAAAATTCAGGTGCATCACAAAGAAATTTAGCAACTTCTTGTCCAGTTTGCATCCAGACATGGATTCCTTATGAGAAGAACTCCCAGAATTAATCACTACTCAGGAAGACAGCACAAATGAGCAGGAGCAGTCAGAGATGACGAGGAGACACACGATTTGCACTGCACAGCTTTATCCTCCCACATATCCTGCTCATTTCAGCACAGCACTACATTTTTTTTTTAATTTGCCAGAAAACCCAGCAGTTTCATCATGAGGATGGCAGTAAACATGTGAATAACAACTGTATTTCTACAGTAAGTACGTGCAGTAGAAGTAACCACCCCCAGTACTGCTTTGTGCTTTTAAATGTGCACAGACAAGTGAAGCAAATCATGCAGACACAAAACTTGGCATGTAAATTAAAGCAGACTAATTGAGCTCTGCCTGAACTTTCTTCCCCTGAATCCTAAACAACCTGCTGAGCAAGTGTTCTTCCTTACAGGAGTCAAAGTGAGAGGTATTTTAGTTTGGAAAACCAGCACTGCAGCAGCACAAAACAGAAGGTCAGGTACACCAACCATGGGGTATGGAGTCATACAATCACAGAATGGTTTGGGCTAGAAGGGACACAAAACTCACTTTGTTTCAACCATCTGCCATGTCCAGGGCCATCGTCCACTAGACCAGGTTGCTCCAACATGGCCTTGAACACTTCCAGGGATGGGTACACAGTAGCCTCCTTGGCTGCAGCAATCAAACATGGCCCTTGGGAACAGCCCTGAAGGACAGAAGCTTTACTGCCTTCCTAATCTGAAAAGATGGAGAAGAGCAGAAAAAAATGTTTCCCCTTCCTAAAAGGCTCAGCAGAGCTCAGGGGCACTGGGATCTGTGCGCTGCAGGACTGAGGGGAACCTCCCTCCCAGCACCCACCACTGCTGAGCCCAGCTCCCTGAGGGCACTGAGCCCTCCTGCCTGAGCCTCTCAGCTGCCACCTCCAGCACCCACGGCAGCTCTTCCCAGGGTTATTACTAGGAGAAATTAGGGATGAAAAATAGAAGGTGTCTCCATGAAACAGCCACTAGCCATGTGCAGCAGGCTGGGAACATTGGGACATGCCCAGGTGAAACCTGCTGGGCTGGCTGGTAACTGAGCAGAAAGCTGTTTCTCCCTGCCAGTTAAAGCTGCCTCCTGCTTCCATGGGCGGGTTCCTGTCCCGGCAGCCTCTACCATGGCCTCTTTCTGCCTGCTGCCACCTCCCACGTGCCACCTTCACCACTGCTGTGCTGACACAGCGCCTGCAGGAATGCACCGGCAACTGGAGCAGGGCCCCAGCCTGTCTGGAAAAAAGCAAAGATGTGGTGTTTTCCCCTTGTGTTATTTCATTTCAGGCCGCCTGGGTTCATCCCACTACGGGTGGCAAGAAAGGGAACACGTTAAACCGCGATTGCAGCCCAGTGCGGGGCAGCCCCTGGTTGTGTGTTCAGTGTTGGGAGAGGTGTTTCCTGTGCTTCTCCACTGCCTTTCTTGGAGCAGCTCAGCCTCCTGCTCCAGGCTCACTGCTGACCCTGACCCACAGCCATGGGCTTTGGTGCTGAGGGAATCAAGTTCCATGGGGTCACGCCACCCTGAGAGGGAATTTGGGGATGCTGGTGATGACTGGGACTCCCTCACACATGGAATGTACACAGGAGCCCAGGTACCTGTGACAGCCATCTCTGCAGCAAGATGACTAACTGCCCTGTATGCTGAATGGAGGCACAGCCAAAATCTGGACCAGCACCAGTGTGTGTGGCACTGAAAACCCCTGGGGTACAAGTGTCTATGTGGCCCACACTGACACTGCCACATAGACACCTGGGGATGGAGTTGTGCTGGGGTGGAGCTGTGCAGGGAATGGAGCTGTGCTGCCTCCAAGCCCTGCCAGAGCCAGGCCTGACTTGTTCCCTCTGTGCTGAAAACCAGCCCGTCCTGTTTGCGCACCCAGCTCTGAGGCGGATGGGCTGGAGGGTGTGGAGATCAGCCAGGGGAGCACTGGGCTGGGCTGCTGAGCCGGCAGCTCCTCTGGGACGCACGGGGGAACCAAGGGAGAGCAGGAGAGAGCGCTCTGAGTCATGTCATCGCTTCTTCCTCATTCTGCCAGCACACCTTCATCATCCTCGGCCTGCCAGCTTGCCTTGCTCCCTGTCCACCAGGGCTCAGCCTGCCTGCTCCTCCTGCTGCCACAAAAATAAAAAGGCCCTTTTTGTTTTATGGAGCACAGTGCAGAGCAGGGAACAAGCACAGGTTTATTTTGGGGCACAGCCAAGGTAGTGTTGAGGTAAGGAAGACAGGGTTTCCCACCTGGCAGCAGCAGGAGAGAAAAAAAGATCAGGAGTGAGATCTGTGAGCTGAGAGCTTGGCCAAGATCTCTGCTGCACCAGCAGAACCCTCAGCCCTGTGGCACTGGGATAACCTGTCCTAGAGCATGGGACGGGCCTTCCCTGTGTGCACAGGAACCTTACACATGTCCACCACCACCAGGCACTCATGTAAGCAGCAACACTTCTGGTCTGACAAGGAAATGCAGCAATCAAGAAAAAAATTTCTACTGTAGCAGAATATTATTAAATATACTACATTTTGATGCATCTTTAACTACAATTATAAAGAAATGTAAGTGTATATTTATACTACATAATACATCTCTATCTAAATACAAATATATATATAATAGATATATCTTTATATCCTGCTGGCTCACTCGTGGTTTGTTGAGGGTGTTACAAACCCCAGTTCCCTGGAAGTCACAGCTTAATGGGATAGAGAAGACTTGCAACCCTAAACCCAGCTCTCCCACACATCTGTCCTGCAGCTCTCCCTCTCTCCATCACCGAAGTCTAACAGGGATCAGTGCAACCCATCCCAGGACCTCTGTCCTGCCAACTCCATGCTCGTTTGCTTCTTCTCACATGAGGGACCTCTTCCAAATGCGACCCAACCCTTGATTTTTCTTGTCCTTGCAGATGCATTTGAAACAAAACCAAACTGAGTCAAACTCTCTGTGCCAGTAGCCCAGCCCAGGAGCAGCTGGCCATGGCTGTTTGCACATGGGGCAGGGCCCCCAGCTCCCCTTTCCCTGCCTGATTCTCCAGCCTGTTTGAGTTTCAGGAGGAGCAGGAGCTCTGCAGGATCCCTGGGAGAGGGGAGATGCCCTCTCCCAGGGCAGGTGTGCGGCACATGAGGTGACCTCATTACCAGCACCCCAGCCTTCAGCTGAGGCTTTTATTCACGCTGCTGTGCTTGATTTAAACAAGCTTGGGCCAAACTAAAGGAACTACATGGGATTCTGGGCAGAGCAGGATGCGCAGGAGCAGCAGCTCTGTGCAGTTACGTGTGTTATGGCGCGTGGATGACACCGCCTCCGCCACCGGCGTGATGTCAGATTTGGGCAATCAGCCATTCCTGCTGGTGCTGTCAGTCACTCAGGAGGCACGTATTCCCAGGAGGTGAGCAGGGCACAGGCAGCAAGTCCCTGGGTGCTGGCAGTGAGCCCCAGAGAACATGAGATCAGCCAACCCTCAGACCACGTGTGCTTGACCGGAGCTGCTGTGGCAGCAGGCTGGGCCTGGCAAGGAAGGACAGGAACAGCCAGATCAAACACGCCGAAAGCAGGTCACAGAACTGCCTCTGCTGCAGCTGGGCAAGGCACCTACTCATTAGGGTGATTACAGGCACCCAACTCTCTGCTAACGAGCAGGCTTGGGTTGCCTGACCTGCAGGTCTCAAACAAGCCCCGGGGCTGTTGTTGCACGTTCAGCTCAGCTGGTGGCTTGGGAGGTGTTCTGCCTGCTCTGGCCTGTCCCAGTCCTCTGCCCTCCAAAGGGGACCCCAGCAGGACTGGCATCCCAAATCCTGGGAGTTGCAGTGCACCCATGGCAGGCTCGCTGTGTGCCCTCAGGGTGTGCAGCAGGGCTGGGGTTCTTCCTCAGCCTGTAGCTGATGTACATCCAGAAATACTAAGGTGCAAAGATACCCTTCCAGTGGATGGTGCGAGAGGACAAAGGGGCTGGACCTCAGTCGGGGACGTTGGTGAGGCCACAAGGAGCGCAGAGGAAGCTGTTCAAATCACAGCATCCAGGGTCTGGCTCTCCATCACACAGGGTCCTGAAGGCACTGGCCTCAAAAAATCCAGAGAACGTGCAATGGCCCTGGATGTGTTTGTGTGAGATCCTGAGTGCCCTCAACTCCTGCCCAGGCATTGAATCTTTATCTGGCCACCCATCCTGCCTGGCTCCCACACATTCCCCCTAGCTCCTACCCATCCCGCATGGCTCCCACCTGGCCCTTGAGGTGCAGGCACATGCCAGCACATCAGACCAATGAAAGATACTCAGCCTAGGACCTGCAGTAAGACTCCTGACCCCTTCCCATGCTGTGGGTTTAACCTGAAGTGCTCCACTGCGTGCCTTGTGTCGCTCTTGGACTGTCCCAGTGCTGATATCCCTCCCGCAGGGACCCTATGGCTGCTGGGCTAGATAAGGAGACAAACGAGCAGGGAGCTGCAGGGCTGACGGCTCTGATAAGGCACCACAGGAGGCACAGTCCCCAGCTGGTGGCATGGTGGATATCTCATCCTATTTGTGGTCAAGGTCACTGAATTAGAGTCGCACAATGGTTTGTGCAGGAAGGGACCTGAAGGATCATCTTGCTCCAACAAATTCTAATTTTCATTAGAAAATTATGCATATTTTAAAAAATAAATTTATGCTTTCTCAACAAAAATAAATCACCCCTGTTACAAGTTCATGTAAAAGGATTGGCCTGACAGGTGCTGCTCCACAGGAAGCAAGGGCAGGTCCTCATCCCCCCATGGCATGTTGGAAGTGGTGTCACCCACATCCCTGATGACATGGCTGTGTTTGGGGATGCTGGGAGCTGCTCCTGCCCTACAGAACATTGCTGCTCCATGAGGCCAGCCAGGAAGCAACTCCTTGCAGGTGCCCTGGAGCTTGTGCTGCTGCATTTTTCTAGTTATTTCATCCCCTCTAATTGCTCCTAAAGAGCTTCTGGGCTGGGGGACAGAAGCCTTACATTACCCCAGGGCTGCAACCATTCCCTGTGCCGCTGGGGGAGAGATTTGGCAGGGAGATGCCATCCCACGCTGCTCGCTCTGCTCCTGCAGCCACTGCATCCCTTCTGGTGTGGGATGGTTTCTCATCCTTTTTTCTCTGGTTTTGCAGCCCAAGTGACACCCTGGGATGTGAGTGGCTCCCATCCTGCAATCCCATGGAGGTGTAAGGGAGTTGTCACAAACAGACCCCAATCCCACTGCTCCTGCAGGCTGACTCAGTGTCCATGGGGACCCCATTGGAGTCACTGCCTTCATTCCCTCCAAAAGGTGGTTCAGGCTCTGCTGTCGGCCCCAGGACAGGTTGCCCAGAGAAGCTGTGGCTTCCCTATCCCTGGAAGTTTCCAGGCCAGGTTGGACGGGCTTGGAGCAACCTGGGCTAGTGGAAGATGCCCCTGCCCAGCACAGCAGGTGAAACTGGATGATTTCTAAGGTCCATTCAAACCCAAACCATGACAGGATTTCAT